AAAATGAAATCTTATTCAAAATTGCACATCCATGTTCTTCTATCTGGAATTCTCATTTCAAACCGTAAGTGGTTAATGAAAACCGATCAATTAGGTAAAGGAGTTGAGCAAATTGCTATGCACAAAACTTAAAATAAATGCCAAAACAAAATTACTGTGTTTATGTGTTTTATGCGTTTATGTTTATGTACCAAATAAATATTTTTCTTTATTTTTTTCTTTCAAAATAATATTATAGATGGGCTTTGCAAAACCTCCATATGAATGTCTTCAAAATATTATCTGGACTTCCACAAAAGGGACCTAGTGCTTCTGCAGTTCCCTTCGCGGTCCCTCTTGTAAAAGTCTAGATATTATAACGTTTAAACGAAAATTTCACACCAATTACTTGGGATACTATAATTAATAAAATTCAATCAAAGTCCAAACCCATCACCATTGCTAAGCATGATGTTGCAGTTAGAACAATTGGCTTAGATCGAAATAAAATTCAGAATATTTGCCAAAGAATGTCCAAAAGCTAATAACGTCAGAACATTTAACACCTTATACCCTACAGGGAGGCTTTTTTAAGTTTATCAATTTTTTTATTAAATTCTAGACATAAATAATGTTATATAAATGATGATAAATATTTAAAATCACTCGTAATTAATTAACAAAAATGTAATAACGTAAAATAGTTTCCTTTTACAATATTCTATCTTGATTTATTTAAAATCCCACAATAATTCCGAAATTAAATAAAAACCAAATGGTATAAATTTTTTTTCGCACACATATGAAGCATTACGTAATATCAAGGCTACTTGATTCTTTAAAGTGTTAGCAAGCCATCGCTATAGTATCGCGTCACTTATTTTTTTTACCATCCATTAAAGTATTATAATTTTATAATTAAGTATTATAAGCCCGTACATGAACACTACTAAATACCAAATGTAAAGAAAAGCTATTAAAATATGTAGAAAATTAAAATTGTTTATAGTGCTAATCTTTGCACTTAACATTGAACATTAAAATATGTAGAAAAATAAAAGCTATTTTTATTTAAATTTGTAAAGAAAAGCTATTTTTATTTGTTACTTACCCCTAAGCTTTGTGGTACTTCGAGTCAGATATTGAATGAACTCGATTTGAAATGTGAAAGGAGAAACTCTTAAATATATCCGGTTATCGCTGGCGGGTGAATTTTTTAAGTCGTTCCTGTCTGATTGTTTGAGGGTGTTATCAGGAGGTGTTGTCACCACTTAGATGTTTTAACTATTTTCAATTTATTGTGTTTATGTGTTTGTTCTCCAATCGTCATTATGTTTTAACAAATTTGAACATCTTCAGCAAAATGCAGCTCAGTGGTAATCTCTGACCACATGAGGTTATACGTGATTAGTGAAATTATATAAATAATTATAATTGAATTATACGATATATAATATTTATCATTATTTCCATAATTTTATCTCGAGGTTCGTTGAAAGAGCTGAAAATCATCTCAACCTCTCTGGCTGTAAGCGCACCGCCCAGACACTGAGTTATCACGGCTGTGGGCGATTCTCAGGTGACACGAACCGCGATGACTCGTAGGTATTTTTAAAGATAGAAACCAACCTGGCTTACACCGGTTTGAACTCAGATCATGTAAGATTTTAATGATCGAACAGATCAAAAATTTTAAACTTTTGCATTTAAATTTTATCTTAATCCAACATCGAGGTCGCAAACTTTTTTTTTATTTGAACTAAAAAAAAAAATTACGCTGTTAGAGCACCATCATCGTTTACAGATATAACAAGGTACGGTTCGGGTAATAGGAATTGGAAAAAAGTGGCAACATTTGTGACTTACTCTTTGAAAATTGAACCGAGTACTTTTCCTTAAAAGAGTCGCAGTAAAACCACGAGCTATCATTTCTTTACACCAAAACTATTAGATAACTGGTAAGCTTACATTTGCGGTCTACGGGACTTGGAATGCAATTGCATTTTCTGATTTTATGCTTGGGAAGTAAAAATAAACATACTTTCCTTAAAAGAACAAATTACGAACAGATTACAATAAACTTTTACTAATTATTTACTAATTTTATAATACAAAATTTTACTTAAATAGTTATACGTTATACGTTATACGTTACTCAGCAATATTAACGGCACAGTAACATGTGCAGCAACTTTCACTTATTTCCAAATACTAAAAGATACCAGATTTACAGTTAAGGCTTGTTTTGTGTAATTAGACTTCTACTAATTCATAAAGGAGACACCCATTTATTTTCAGTACCAAGTAAGGTCTCAGCATAAATTATATACTTAATTAATAATATTAAATTAAATTAATAATACTCTTCATAAATTCAATACGTAGATTCACAGCTCAAATAATTTAGGAAAGAAATTTAAATCATAGGATTGAGATAGGAGATAGGAATAAAATGTTAATTTAGAAAATCTGACGTATAATAAGTCTTGGAAACAAAAAGATTTCGTAATGAATTTAGCGCTAACTACCGAAACGCTTGCCTATGCTCTCCTCGTGAATCAAGGAAATAAATGGGACGGTAGGACCTAAATATAATATTTTAACTTAACAATTTAGCAGATATAAATGACACCGCCCTTAAACATCCACAATACAGGTGTGACTGAAGTTTTGTTAAGGACCTTCGAGGGTAGACTTCGTTTACCTCACTCAACAAATAAAATTTATGTTGTATGAGGCTGTCATAATTCTTCGTACGAGCTAGACCATTCATGTAACAGAAGAGGTCGTTGTGTAAGCCACAACTGAAAAAACCTTTACTTATTTACTTTGCAGGCCGAGTAAATCATCATGTTTCATTTTAAAAACTCTTTAACCTCTGTACGTATTTTTGATGGTTTTATATAAAGTGAAAAATTACAACAAAATTAAACTGGTTATGTTTTTTTAAGTATTTGAATTTATACATATAAAAGTGCTCCGTGGCAGTTTGTGGGGGAGGCCTTTGTTCAGCATTGAACTCAAACAGGCTGAAATAATGATAATGATGATGATGATGGAAAAGTACTTAAGTTAATTGAAATTAAATTGTCGAAGCAGTTACAAACTGCAGCTAGTAGCTAGAAATAAATTATCTAAATCTGTCTTCTGTACAACAAAATAGAACTTATGATATGCTTAGGAGAAAAGAAAAACTTTCGTGAAGATTTTGATTATCTCAGTAGAACAAGCCAATTACTTTGCAACTTGTCAAAACCCAGGATCATAAGTCATCTATATGTATTCCATGATGATATATAAATCACTAGCATACTATGTGGCAGTGGAAAAACAGCTCTACTGCATAGGGCCAACCGATTCGAGGAGCAACCACGCTATACGGGATACCGGAGTGGAGTATTAATCATTTATTAACTGTGGTATGGCCACAGTCCGGGTAAGTACCACGAGCTCACAGAAGACCGGCGTAAAGTAGAAGTGTTACACTTCTGCGTTTCTACTGGTGAGTGAGGTAGCCGGGTAGCCTTAATTTGTAGGTGACAACACTATTGCGACCCTACGGGTGTTGCAAATGTCCATGGGCGGCGGTTATCACTTAACATCTGGGGAACCATTGGCTTGTTTGCACTTCAGTTTCAGTTCAGTTTCTCTAACTTTGAAGCAATTTAAAATAAAAGTTTGATAAAAACGATCTGAACTGATAACGATCTGCCTGAATATTTTCAAAAAATGCTTCTCACATTCCGTAATAAATCATATCGGCGTTTACCACCTCCGAACATAATTAAAAGAATTCTTCGTACTTTTCTGGAAAAATAAAAGGCGACCGGGGAAACTGGTTTTCGTTGTTTGCTTGAAATTCAATTAAAATGCAGCTGGCTAGCGGCAGGCAAGAACTTTTTTTTTATATTCCGTAATGGATTGTACTTTTTTTATTTGAAAAGTTCATTCGTTCATAAAGAAATAAATTTTTATTTTGTTTTATTTTGATATAAGATTCTGCTAGACTGGAGCTCGTGTTTTAAAGAAAGGCTACTTAATGAGAAGCGATCAAGTTCGATAATTGAAAGACTTGAACAACTCTTGTCTGTTACTGACATGGATCTTCTACGTAAGAGTCGCTTTAACGAATGAATATGTCTCTATATTTAATTAGCTTCGCAAGTCACCAGTGACAGGGATCAATCTTCTTTTACAAGAGTTTGTAATTTATCTAAATAGATGGAAATAAGGATAGGCTATTGATTATTGTATTGTTATTGTTGTTCACTAATACGCAACTTCGTATCAACATCAACAAAGTAGGCTGCTAACAATAGCTCGGGTCCGTATCACTACATAGTATAAAACAAAGTCATCCCGCTGGCTGTCTGTCCCTATGTAAGCTTAGATCTTTAAGACTACGCGACGGATCTCGATGCGGTTTTTTTTTTTCTAGATAGAGTGATAAACGAGGGGTTTATATGTATTTAATTGCACCCGTGCGAAGCCGGGGCGAGTCGCTAGTAATTAATAAAATTAAACCTAGGCACCTACCATGAAAGTGTAGTAAGAAAATTCTGCTTCGATTGAACTAAAATTCAGAACTTTCCTGTCAACGTAGGTACATCCGCGATGACAATAACAACAGAACGTCAAACACCTTAGATTTTTTCGTGCAGCAAAGCATTAGAAACGTTTTGAGTAATCAAATTATAAGATACGTAAATTACAGAAATCACTACACATTTTTACTTTAACCCTTTCCTTAAATTATATTGGTATAGTCGTCAACGAGTAAATTAATCTTTTAAAATAAACATCAATAAATTTTTTTCTAAGAGTTCCGCTATAAGAACATCTTGTGCATTTCAGTCCAAATTCTATTAACGTTAAATATTAGGTAGTGAACAATCAACATTTTAAATGTAGTTTTGCTATTATCTATTGCTTCTATCTTCGATGTACGACTGTATAAAGCGCTTGCGAATTACCTTTATCGACTTTCCTTTGAAAATTATTGTGCCCGCTTTACGCAAAGAATGGGCGACGGCATTACTACGGGTAAAATGTGGGACCAATAAACCCGTGACACGTACGCTATCTCAGTGAACTTAGTAATGATTAAAGATAATGGGTTTGTTTTAATAGTAAAGTGAAAATTAAAGTAACAGACTACCCACCTACCTATAAGTATGTCCCAGTGCTGGGCTTCGTACCACTGCGTATAGGCAGACTTCACATATTATATTGTAAACTAGCGACCCGCCCCGGCTTCGCACGGGTGCAATGTATTATACATATAAACCTTCCTCTTGAATCATGTTAAAGCTTGATTTATACTATGTAGTGATATTGTTTTTTTGTCATTATTTCTAAAATGCGCAGTTTTCCTCGAGATGTCCTCCTTCCCAGCTGATCACATGATAAGTGAGCATTTAAAATTAATAATTTCATTTGTGCACCGGGATTTGAACTCCGGTTGCGAAAACCAGGCGTCCGTGTACTGAACTATAACAGCTCACGGCTTAATATTATAACCTATAATGTAAGCGGGCCAATCTAAACGGGAATCTAAAAGTAAATCGGTATACGAGAGAACGGTTAACTTATTGCCCAATATCTGTTACTCTGTAAAGCTTAAGTTAAAGTTATATTTCGATTAAGCGATCCTTTAAACAGAATACATTGCTAACGCAAATTCCCATGAACATTCGAAGATAATATCATCAGGTGTAAATGCTTGTTTGGCATTCTTTATTATAAAGTAAGAGTCTATATAAATGTCCCAGTACTAGGCGAAGGTCTACTCTGTACAGAAGGCATAGTCCACCACGATACCGCAAACGTATTCGCAGACGCCAAATATATACCAAATATTCATTTTTTCTTATTATTTCGAAAATATGTTTTCCTCGCGATGTTTTCCTTCACCGCTTATCACGTGATAATTCAACACTAAAAATTATTATGATTAAAACCGACTGCACGGATGTCATTTGTTTTATTAATTCCGGCTTGGCTTTATTCGATGAGTAGGGTCCTTAGCGAGCCCGTAAGAGTAGGGTTTCCCTCATCTTATTTTAATAATTAAATTAGTTTAATACTATACATTTAAAGTAGCTCTTAACATTCAAAACCGGAAAATCGTCCATCAAAAACCCTAGTCGTCATTTTTCTTTTCAATCCACGCCGGAAGCTAATTCATGCGAGCAATTTATTTCAAATCAACTCGTATTTTATCTTCATAGGAAATTTTTCAGCTATTTTCCATTTCAATTTATGCATCGTCGGAATTTGAAAGAATCGTTTCATGCATGGCGCGTAAAGCAATTTTTCAGCTTTCTTCAGTCTTGAAACCATAAAATTCGTTGCAGATAACACGGTACAATATTATGCCACGCACATAAATGCTTCGTGAATAATTGTGCTGTTTTCAAAATGTTAACCGTTATTTTTCGTCATTATAAAATATGTCACATATTATTGTGTTGTGAGTTATCTGAAACTTTATTTATACTTTCGAGCTTTGAAAAATATTGCTCTACGCTCATATTATGACATGAATAGTTTAAATGCAAAGGTATATGATATCAACCATATTATATTAAAATATAAATACTTCCTTATTGTCGTCTTGGCTGAAAATATGTTTTAACGGACAAGCAATATCGTTAAATGCCTTCTAAAAATACGGATTAAAATATTATAAAATAGTTTTAAAGTATACTACTAATCCGAATCTTACCTTTTAAAGTACTTTATAATCAGAATTTTGTGACTTACTTGATCGTTAGAAAATTTGTATCACAATATAGCATTATAGTCCATCTGATGTTTAATATAGATACGAATTTATTGCGTATCTTTTGACATAAGCCAGCTTTGGTTGGAATGAAATGCATGATTTTTTTAAAACACAGTTCATTTGCTACTATTTAGTTCACGTACTACTTTGCAGTTAGCTTGTGTGTATTGATTGCGTTTCAGCACGTTCTTTGATGCGACGCCGACGGGGGCTCAGTGCATTCCCTTTGCATGGTATTAAAAATATTGAAATAACGACATAAATTTGTCATCAAGTTGTAATTAGTATTACTTAGATAACATATTTAATATCTCTACACTCAAGAAAGGTATCGTATTAAATAGTAATTATTGTTGATATTGTTTGTTTTGTTACTCAAATCTACTGCCGATTATTATAAAAAGTGAAAAATTCATTATGAAGTTTATTTAAAATATAATATAATAAAATTTGTCACTGACGTATTCCCGTGATTGTTATTAATCAAAGTCTATATAGTAAATAATTACGTAGTAGAAAAGGAACAACATTTCTTTTTCGAACTTTTTAGCGCATTTTTAGAAGGTTCAAGTTAAATATAAAAGTACTTTTCAAAGTTGGTTGGCGGTTTGAAATGTAAAAGGAACAGAAGAGAACATCTGTTTCTTCATATATTCAGTTTTTTTTTAATGATTTGATACGTTGAAAACGAAACATTAAAAGTTTCGTTTACCAGATGAAATTTTCCCATTTAACTAGTTTATGTATGTATATACTAGTAACCTTCTCCTTATTAAATATATAAGCATAAATGTATCGTACGAGTCTTACCAAATTTGTATATAATTTGTATTTATATAATTTGAATATACCTACTTACATATTTTTAGGGTTCCATACGCAAAGTGTAACCCGGGACACTATTACAAAGATTGTCGCTGTCTGTCTGTCTGTCTATCCGTATGTCACCATGCTGTATCTGATGATCCATGATAGATAAACATTTGAAATTTTCACAGATGATGTATTTCTGTTGCTATTATTTACTGAAAAATAGTATAAAAACATATTTAAGTGGGGCAAGTGCAATAGACACGATTTGTTTTCCGTTTTTATAGATAATGCTACGGGACCCTTCGTGCGCGATTCTGACTCGCACTTGACCGTTTTTACCTTATGTTTACAGATATTTCAATAAACCACATTACTTTTAAGAAATTAAAATTTGTAAAAAAAATAATGACATGAAGGGAGAACAAATAAGTGAACGCGAAAAAAAAAATATCAAATCTATTTATCAAAATTTTCACCGAGGTTACTCTGCGAAATAATTTGGTGAATTTACCAGTTTCAAGGGAAATAGCTGTTTACTGACTGAGTATATCGAAATTACTGTTTACCATATCCCAAATTTCAGCGGAAAAGTTCGTATTAAAAATACTTGTGAAGTTTGCCAAATAAGCAAGCCCGCGTGTTGATATTTATCCCTTTGAATTTGGCGTTAACAATGTATATGTACTATTCAATGCATCGCTTAGTTGCAATATAGCCTTAACTTAAGCTACGAACTGTGGTGGGGCCACGCAACAGTGTTCGCTGTTGCACGAATGGGATGGTCCGTCCGGCTTCGTACGAACTCACAGAAGACCGGCGTGATGTAGATGTGTTACACTTCTACGTATCGTCTGGTGAGTGAGGTAGCTGGGGCTCACTTTATTAAAAGGGGGCAACGCATCTGCAACTCTATGGGTGTTGCAAATGTCCATGGACAGCGCTTGTCATTTAACAACAGTTGGACCACCAGCTCGTTTGCCACTTTGTCCCCACAGTTTGGATTTTAACGCGGCTAAAACTTTTTTATTGGCAGCTGTGACCAGTCTCCGCGACGTGAAACTGTTAGTGGAGCCGGAGACAGTCATCAGGGGGCGTACAGCAGCTCTCATTTGCTCCAGGGACATGCAGGGTGCACCGCTTTACTCGGTCAAATGGTATCGTGGCAACCACGAGTTCTTCCGATACACACCAATGGAGGAGCCTGACATCAGAGTGTTTGGTCTGCCTGGGATCTACGTCGACGTGAGTAATAAAATTCTTAGATAATAATTCAATCACATTTGTAAATTCATTAAATAGGTAAAGCTAGTAGTAACTTTGCTATCCTTCAGGATAATTAAGGATGAATTTGTGATGACATTGTGAAAAATGTTGATGAATATAACAATACTAATAATAGTGTTTGTAAAAGTACTTATGGCTTGGCTGAAGATTAAAAGAAAGCTTTGTTCAGCTTCACGTTAATAAGGAAATGAGTGATTGTTTAGTAGCTAAATATTATAATAAATTGTCAAATCTCTGTGCGTCATCTCAGCTGCGTTCGCGTAATAGAAACTAACAAAGTAAATTATAAGAAATTTTTGGCAATTGCAGTCGCCATCTAGTGTACACTCTTACAGTAGACGGAGTACGAACTGTGCAGATGTGCCGGACTCAGGATCGTACTTCGTGGCAGTCTATGGCATATTGGGAAGGCCTATGTTCAGCAGTGGACTCAATCAGGCTGATGATGATGATGATGATAAATTATTATCAAAAAAAATATGTCGTTAGCTCATTTAGCGTAAATCGGAAATAAATAATATAAAATGTATCGTGGCCTACACATTACGGAATTATGTCTCTTCTTTACCATGAATGGTATTGTACTGTCTGGAAACTGTATGCCTATATTATTACATTGTTAAATAAAAACAGTACTTTACAATATTACAGACAAGAAATATTCTTGAACGCGTGAACATGGTATATGCTTATTTAAAAGAGTATGTAATACTCATACACTTTTAAATAGGTATATGCTATATGTACGGTCTCTGATAAAAAGTTGTTTTGTACTATGAAGTTAAATATTATTATAACATGCGCCATGTAATTTGAACAATGACAAGACGCTCATTAAAGCTTCAAAGCTTGTCACAATATGAAATATGAGCGTCTGATAAAACACAAAGACGGAATTTTTTTTTTTTGCGTCACATTACACTCACAATTTTTATTTTTGTAATATGCCAGTTATACGTAATATACGATTTGGTTAGGTTCTTCAAAAAAGTATTTAAATTATGTCATCTACATCAAAAACAATAACGTAAGTAACGTTCGCGTTAATTATTTGCCATATCCCTACATAGTATAATATGTATGCTTAGATCTTTAAAACTACTCAACGGATCTTGATGCGGTTTTTTTTAACTAGATAGAGTGATTCGAGAGGAAGGTTTATATTTGTTTATATGTATAATAAAAGGTTGGAGAAAAAGTTTCTTCGCGTTTTAAATGATTCATTTTTAATGATTTTCATTATGAAAATTCAAAATATTTTTTAATAAAGTTTATTTAAATTTACAAAAACTGAAGGTGGAGGAAAACTATACGGCGGATACATTAACACCTCCCAGCCAAACTCTCTTTTTTTTTTTTTTTTTTTTTTTTTTTTTTTTTTTTTTTTTTTTTTTTTTACGTGGGGAAATCCGTTATGGATACCCGGCCTCCCACATATGGGAAACCAGATTATGTCGGACTCACACCGACTAAAACCCCACGGTGGACGCCATCAGCTTTCATGGGGGGTCACGGGATCTCCGTTTGGAACACTACCGCGGCCCCCCTTGGCTTGGCTTGAATAGCCTCTACCCGGTAACATAACTTCGCCCACCCCTGCGGTACAACCACTATAGCTTAAACCTACTTAAGCCATTGTCGTTCTTAGGTTCGCTGTACTGACCTATAGAGGGCCAGTCACCCGCGATCCCTGAGGCCCTGATTCCGGTACGGGAATACTATTTACATTTGGAGGACCGTAACGTGGTGTAACCTCGTTTCGGTGACCCCATCTCCGAGAGGGATCCGTCCTCTCTCGGTCCCTCTCAGCAGCCTCCTTCTTGACCATTACGGTCTCGCAGAAGGAGGTTACGGCTCTCCATGCTACTTCTCGATTCAGCATCGCCGATACGACTGCTGGTAAAGAGAGGTTTCCTCCAATGTAGCTTACCAGGATACTCCGCTCCGTCTCCCACGCTGGGCATACCGCCAGGGTATGCGTTGCGGAATCCTGGTACCTTCCATCGCAGTGGAAACAATTCGCCGTCGCCTCACGTCCGATTTTACACAGATAATCACCAAAACATCCATGCCCAGTGATTATCTGTGTAAGTCTGTAGGTAAGCCTGCCTTCGCGTCGCTGCATCCAGGCTTCGAAGACTGGCAGGATAGCTTCCACCACGCGTTTATGTACGTACTGTTCTTGGCTGAGCCGAGCGCGCCAGACCAAGAAAGCGGAATGCCGTTCCTGTCGTTTGATGGACTCGAGCGCCTGTTCTGGCTCGCTACTACTACTCTGTCGGAGGGCACGGATTCGGTAGTACACCCTCGCGTCCATTTCCGCCAGTATGTCCAGAGGAGGAAAGCGAGCCAGGACAGTTGCCGCCTCAAAGGATATAGTTCTGTACCCTCGTACGATCCGTATAGCCATCCGCCTCTGGACACTGTAGATCTTAGACCTGCAACGTCTGATGGCGAGTCTTTTTGACCACACAGGTGCCCCATATAAGGCTACGGATCGCACGACTCCAGCATAGAGGCGGCGAACTTCTTCTCTTGGTCCCCCAAGATTAGGTAGCAGTCTGTGCATTGCACCCGCTACCCGCTCGATCCGGGGGACTAGGCGCTCGAAGTGTTCTTCGAAGCCCCAGCGACTATCAAGGATTAGGCCCAGGTACTTCATGTACCGACCTACCCTTATTTCAGACCCACCCACACGGACACATGAGTTAGGTGGTTCCCTGCCTCTTGGCATCTTATGGAACCACATCGCCTCGGTCTTATGTGGCGCTACTTCTAGTCCTAAATTGTGAATTTTGGTGACGACGATTTCAACCCCAAGCTCGGCGAGCTCTTTGGTCCTCTCAAAGGTGTCCCCGTATGCGACTATTAATGTGTCATCCGCGTAACAAATAATGCTCACATTAGTGGGGAGATTGACACGCAGGACGGCATCATACGCGACGTTCCACAGTAAAGGACCGAGGACAGACCCCTGTGGAACTCCGCAATGAATCTCCCTCCGGATCTTGTTGCCGTCTTTGTCCCTATATAAGATGTACCTATCGCGCAAGTAGTCTGCGATAACGCCTTGGAGATAAGGGGGCACTTGATGGTAAGAAAGCCCCCCCATGATGGCATGCCAGGGTAGAGAATTAAAGGCATTGACGATGTCTAGACTTATCGCCAATGCCACACCACCCTGGAAAACTGCCTGATCCGACAAGGAGCGGACGCGCATGATCGCGTCTATCGTAGAACGCCCCTTTCGGAAACCAAACTGGCTTTCAGATAGATCGGGACCGACACGCGATAGATGCCTATTAAGACGAGCAGCAAGAATTCTCTCAAACAACTTGCCAATCTCGTCCAACAGGCATATCGGACGGTACGCAGAGGGAGATTCTGCTGCCCTGCCTTCTTTCTTCAAGAGGACCAATCTTGAAACTTTCCAAGCTGTAGGAAACGTGGAACTACGGAGGCAACTATTAAATAATTGCCTCACCCTGTCCCCCAGTACAGTTAAACTCAGCACCCAGACCCGACCTGGTATTCCATCAGGTCCTGGCGCATTGTTCCGAGCTCTTAAGCGGCCAACAGCTTGATCTAGTTCTTGAACAGTCACTCCCATGTCATCTTGCCAATCCCACAAAAGTAGGGGAGAGCCTGAGGGACCTGATCGAACTGTTGGGAATAGCGTGTTGATCACTCGTCCCAGTAGGTTAGGGTCTAACGATTCCGTCAGAGGAGGCATCCAGGGCCTAAGCTTACCCAACACCATTCTATAAGGACGTCCCCATGGATCTGTGTTGAGTCCCTCCAAAAGCTCTACCCAGGATCGAGTCTTAGCATTTGCGATTGCGATATGCAATGCCTTGGTGGCCGCTCGGTAAGCCATGTAGAGACTAGTTGTCTCCTCGGCCGTTGCTCGCCTTCTTCTTCGGGCTCTGGTGTATTGGCGTCTGCTCCGCAGACAGACGGCACGTAGTCGCGAGATTTCCGCCGACCACCAGTACACCGCCCTACGTTTGGGGCTTCTGGTCCGGGGCATAGACATGTCACAAAGTTGAGTCATCGTGCCCCGCAACCAGGTTGCTTCCCTTTCAGGATTGGACGAAACTCCTTCGGTGTCTTTTGGCCATGCCGCAATGTTGGCGGCAGCTTCCAGTAGGTCCCGATTTAGCCGCTTGAGGCACCAACGACGAGGTGGGCTGCAATCACGGCGACTACTAAGGCGGCGGGGAGCGATGTCGAAAACGATGTGACGGTGGTCAGATAATGTGACCATGTCCTCTGCAACCCGCCATCCCGATACCATTTGTGTCGCAGAAGGAGACGCCCATGTTAGGTCGACGACCGACTCTCCTTGCCACCGTACACAGGTACTGACGGACCCCCGATTCAATAGTCGGAGGTCCAGCCCAGCCGCCCACTCTTTTAGGGCCTCCCCTCTCGAATTGTTTCTGGGGTTTCCCCACTCTCTAGCGTGGGCATTAAAATCCCCCAGAACAATTAACGGGTGAGGCGGGCAACTGCGGACACAGTCTGCTACCTCATCCAGATACATCTGGTAGTCAGCGAGTAACCCATTGGGAGAGACATAGCATCCGATGATGACCAGGGTTCCCCACTGCACTGCAACGAATCCCCGCCCCCTTCTTAATAGGGTGCAGGGTGGGGCATCCTCCCTTACTTCCCAATAAATGGCTACGGAGCCCGAGTCATCGCCGAACCAGCGGGGATCATCAGGCACAACGTAGGGTTCCGCTATAACTGCTAGGGCAACCCTCCACTCCGTAATTGTCTGCATAAGCAGATTTTGTGCATTACGGCAGTGGTTTAAGTTACCCTGGAGGACTTTTAGGATGTTCGTGGTGGTTTAAGAGTTGGTTACCTCCATCACCGAGATTTGACTCGGTACTGCAGCTGTGGTCGCCATAATGTTGGAAACGTTGAGAGCAGTTTCCCCACGCATACCTTTTCTACTGCTCTTTTTGAGAGGCAGGGCGCACTTCCTACCCAATCGGTGTCCAGACGGGCGTCCTAAGTCTGAACAAAGTGGGCATTTTAGAACTGAAGCGGAACAATTCTTAACTGTATGACCAGGCTCACTGCAGGCGTAACAGCGATTGCTACGATCAACATTATTGGGACAACGGCTTCCAACATGACCTTTCTCAAGGCACCTGTAGCAGTGCAAGGGCCTGGGCTCCAATAATTCCACTCGAGCAAATCCCCACCCCACACGTAAACGTCTGGCTGCTGCTAGCTTACGGACCGCCGTAATAGGACATCGTACCCAGCAGGTTCCCATGCTGATGGGTGATCGACGAACCTCGCCAACTTTGACATCGTCAGCCGAACAACCACTTGCCTCCACGATCGCTGCTGTTAGTTCTGAAGGACCAACAGAGTCATCGAGGTCTCTAAACCGGACGTCGCCCGTTTTTACCGGGCGATTGATACGGACGTTCGACTCTGAGAGGATCTCACGCAGCTTAGCCGCCAGCTTATCCGCTTTCGGGCCACAGTCAGTTCCGCCGATCTCCATTAGGATTCCCCCTGTAATGGCACGCTTTTGTCGGATAACCTCGATTCCGAGTTCCTCTAGCTGAATTTTCGCTTTGGCGTCCTTCATTATGCTGCCGTAGGTAGCGGTGGAACCCTCTCGTAAAGTAATTGTTACAGCCGCAGAAGTTGGGGCACGGACAGGTTTCCTTTTCATCTTCGTGGATTGTTCGTTGGACACATAGTTCATCGGCGACTTTTGTGTCGTCTGGTGTACTTTTGGTCTTTTAGCCACGTCCGCCCAAGACCCTGTTACTGTAGACGCAGAAGTTTGCAGCACAGGCTTCGCTACAGCAGGTAGATCTGCCACAGGTGGATATGTCGGCTTCTGCCGTTTCCTCGCCTTCTTTTTATTTTTCTTCTTTTGCGATCGTGCATCGGCTGAAAGCGACTGCATCGGCGTTGTTAATTGCTCAGTGACAACCGTCATGGACTTCACTCCCAGTGGTGGGCGTAGCGCCTTATTCGATAACAACCGAGATTCGAGAGCCGCCAATTTACTCTCAATAAACGCTCCAATGCGTTCCATTAGTGCCTCCTCTCCGCTACTGGGCATTGGAGCATCTGCGGTTGATTGAGCAGATGACTTAGAGACACTGACTCTTTCATGTGTTTGTTTACGAAGGTAATTAATTTCCTCCGTCATTTTATCCGCCCTGTTGCTAAGGCTAGAAAGCGCTGAACGAAGTTCAGCATTTTCTCTCTCTAGTCTGGCGATATTTTCGTCAGCGGCGGACCTCCGGGCCAGCTCATTAGCCGCGGCTTTTACATTCCGCACGGCTAACCTTAGGCTCTGAACGTAGCTTCCCTTTAAATTGCGGGATCGGTTTGCTACCTCCTCAATGGCTTGAAGTTGACGGTCTATGTGTTCTTCAACTTTTCTGCCTGCCTGAGATCGCAGTTCTAACGCAAACTCCTCTGTACTAGGCAAAGTTGATTTGGCCCTGGACTTGGATGATACCACTGAGAGGTCGGCAAAGTCCTCTTCCGTATCAATCTCAGTGGCCATATCCTCCACTTCAGTAGGAGTTGCCGAGGCAGAGGCTGCTACTGCCTTGTATTTAGCGGCCACCGATTTAATACTCGGAGCCTTTGCCTTTCTTTTTCGCGTATCCTCCGAAGCAACCGATGCGAGTGACAGCTGTGAACCATCAGACTCAGCTTCTTTTAATTCTCCAGATTGAGCTAATCGCCCCCGTCTTCCACGTCTTCCCCTTGAGTATCGTGCCGAGTTAATAGGATCTCCAAGCACGGCTTCCTCCTTACTAAGTTGGTCCCTGGATGTTAGGCGACCCGCGGACGATGTAGATGTATCGCCGCAAAACAGTGTGTTGCCCCCCCCAGATACGATGGGGCTGCCTAGGCTAGGCCTAGGGGTGGATTCTCCGGCATTGCCGGTACCACCCTGGGGTATTAGTATGTTACCCACTGTTTCCATGTTTCCTTTTTTACAAGGGTTTGGTCCCTGAATTTCCCCCCCTTCCCCCTGAGCGCTTGGCACTGGAATACCACCAGCGATTCACCCCATCGGCACGCTCGACCTTAGGGTTATGGGATTTTTTTATAGAGGTTGCCTTCCTCATGGCCATTCATGGCCCCCGCTCCCAAAGGTTTACGGGTGATGCGGCGTCGGTAATAACCGAAATGCACGTAGCATATCACCGCACTTGTCACGTCCGCTGTTCTTTGCAAAGGTAAAGAAACATGGAGTGACATAGAGCCTCGAAGGCCCACCTCGAAGGCAATCCTCCTCAGGATTCCCTCTTGGCCGTTTCTCGAATCTTTAAAGATTCGAGGGTACGCCCCAAACCCAGCCAGTTTTGGTCCACGACGGTTTTCCGCTACCACCCATATCTGGGTGGCATTCCCCTATCCGCCACCTGGGGACGCGCCCGATGGGAGATCTGGCAACTCCTCACGGGATACGAAAAGAGTTTTTCCCCAACCGATTACATTAATACAATAGTTTGTTAATAAATTTAAAATTCGTTCGAAAATATCTCAAACTCGCTCTCTAAAATGATGATGGCAATCCTTGAAATGTTCTGAAGTCTGAAGTCTCAAGAATGTCTTGCCCTGACACAATAACATACGAGTTGCTTAAATGTTAACACGACGGCTCCTAATAAGTTAATAAATAGTTTTACAACCTCAGTTCTGAGGAGCAAATAAAATTCATAAAATCATAAATCAATCAAAATCAAAAATTATTAACATCTATTAAATTCTTAATTATATGAAATTAAATTTAAATTTATATGCATTTATTAAAAGAAAGAAATTTACTTCTGAATGGCTTTTTTTATTAATTTTAATTTTTAACATTCGTACGTTTTTTCTTTGCTGCCTAAAGTGTATCAGAAGATTTAGTCTCGCAAGAAACAAACTAAGAAAGCAAATAGATAAAACTTGACAATCATTTGACAAAAGTTGATGATTGATATTGCTAAATCATATTTTATAAGAAATAATATTAAGTAATGAAAATATTGTTATATAAATATTATAATTCGGTTTTAATGTGAATCTTAAGATATAAGATAGTGGTAAACTTCTTTTTTACATATCTTACTGATATTATTTTTTGGCATTAAATACGTCCATGTAATTTATCCGTAAAGTTTTAATAATTTCAAATAAATATAACCATCAAAAAATGTGCTTTTGCAAAACGGAAAAATTAATTTTCTACATTTGTTGAAATTGATATATTATAGCTATTGTACGTGATTCAATTTCCTTTACATACAATTTTTATATGCAATTAACACACACCGGCCACACAGAATTTAGGTATTAAGTTTCTTTTATATCCGACTAAACGCTGGCCATGAAATACCAGAAAATATATAAAAGAAAGAATATCGAACAAAACACGAAAACTGCGTTCGAATTTCAGTGAAGAATAAGCGAACGCTTCGGTAACGTATTTGAGACGCATCGACGGACTGACAAAGCGTGCTAGGTATAGATGAATCCCATTCAATGATGACTCCGTGGCGCAGTTGCCAAGATATTGGCTTCGGCGTCGAGGGTCGTGGGTTCGATTCCCACACGAGAAAACTATTTGTGTGACCCACAGATAGTTATTTCGCATCTGGGTGTTTGTCCGCGTGAAATTTATGTTTGTAAAACGTCCTTACAACACAGGATGATATTATCCTAAAGTAAGGGCAATGTTTTAAAAAAAAAAGAAAAAAAAGAAAAGAAGAAAAAATTCATATTCGAAGTTCCATGAATTCCGTCCGCCGACGAGTGTGTTTGAATACGTCCCCCTTTTATTTCATGCGATTGGATACGTATAAATCCGAATTGGCAGAAATAATACCGATTCTGTTTTGATCAAGCGACGCCGTTTGGTGGCGGAATTCTATTTTGCAGATTGCCGCCGCTATTCTTTGTTAAATTCCCGGTTGGGTTTTCGTTCAGCGGCTTTTGGTAGCAAACATTATGATATTGCTAAATTTTACCAATATCAGGAAAACTTTATCAGAAAAGATGGAATTTAGAGGCATTGGCTCAAAGGCTTTTGTTCAGCTTCAGCATTACCCGGAATTTTTAAAGTGCCTTGTAATTAATTATATTATTATTGTAAAACTGCAATTAGTGTATTCAATAAGTAAGAAAAACAGGCCAAGTATGAGTTGTTCCACGAAGGGTTCTGTACCATTTTCTATAAAAACGACGTGTTGTATGGGAACCACACTTAAATATTTTTTATTCTAATTTTTAGTATTTCTTGTCATACCGGCAACAGAAGTACATCATCTGTGAAAATTTAAACTATCACTATTACGATCCACGACATACAGCCTGATGACAGACGGACATACAGACAGCGTAGTAGTACTAATAGGGTCCGGCTTTGGTTACCGAACCCTAAAAAGGAGATGTTGGCACAGTTATTAACAAATTCCCTAGATTGAGGCTCAGTAATGTCTTCCTCGACTAATTACCTGCAATAAATAATAAAATAAAAAGGTTTGATGCACTAAAAATTTAGTTATGAATTCAACCTCACTCAGAGTGACAGAAGTACATACGTGCTTAGATATGCCTGCTGGCTCTTAAAATAAGTTTAAGATGAGCCATCTCAAGTCAATCTGAAAGTACATGATCTTTTGTACAGATCAATCGGTGGTAGGGCCACGCACCAGCCTCGGCTGTTGCACGAATGGGCAGGCTCGTCCGGGTAAGTACCACGACCTCACAGAAGACCGGCATAAAGTGGAAGTATAATACTTTCGCGTTTCGTCTGGTTAGTGAGGTGGCCGGAGCCCAATTTTCTAAAGTTTATCAACGCATGTGGAACCTTTTTCAATAACATCAGGTGAACCGTCTGCTCGCTTGACAACTTTTCACAGAAAAAAAAAAAACAGTCATCGATTAGCCTTATTTTAGTTTTTAAAAAGCTCTTCAAGGTTCCCTGTAACACATAGGGAATTACAACTTTATTAACTTTATCCCTTAAACACTAACTTTTTAGAATGCATTTTTAAGCAACGTCTCATCCTGAATATGCTTAGTTTGGGACATAAGTATATAATGACGTAACCTAACTAGTGACAAAATAAGCATAACGAATTACAGTTTGATTTTTATTTGTTTTATTATATTTTTTAATATGTTTATGTTGAAAAACGATATCAAATATGTGCATGTTGGTATGATAAATTTAAACTATTTGAGATGCTTATATAAGTATTTGCAAAGTGTGAAGTATTTCGACATAACATAGAAAGTTTTGCGCTTCATAACTGAACTAGATTCTTTGATAAATCTAAGTTCAAATACAACCGTCGTTCGTCGTATGGTAAGGAAACAAAATATTTACAACTTTTATATTACTTTCACACGCAGAATTTATTTATTTATTATATACTTTATTGTACACCATAAAGAATTTAATACAATTAGTATAAATTAAGTCTTAAAAGCTAGGTACAAAAAGGCGGTCTTACCGCTTAAAGTTGCATTTTGTTAAATATATATATTCCGAGAGAGAAAAAAAAAAAAACAACGAGGCCTCAAACATTATTATTTTAAACTACAGTTATATTCGCTCGTGCGATGTCCAAAAATGCAGAACGCATTGACGCATAGCAATGGGATTTCACGTTAACCACACTCATGCCCGGTCTCTGAGCATCGTAGAAAGTAACTAATCAGCTTTCAAATGGCTATTCAAACGTCATTTGAGTTGTCTAAAGGACCATCCTTTAGACTTTAAACTCTTTTAATTGTTCATTTTGATCATTAATAAGATCATTCTGATCAATTCAGACAGTCTGACCATCCTTATGGGCATTCAAATTCAAAGCTATTTGACAGATGATTAGTTACGACGATCAGTGTTTCAGAAAGCGGACGTCAAACGTTCACGATAACTATTCTTACAAAGTGATGATATGGTTGAATTAAAATTTCAGATGAACCGATCCAACGGCACGCAGGTCCTTCTGAGGCGCCTAGACCTCGGACTGGCTGGTAACTTCAGTTGCGAAGTCACCGCCGAATCGCCATCTTTCGCGACTCAAATAGCCACAAAGTTCATCGACGTCATCGGTAAGATATTCATTTATTGGTAGAATTTACTACAGAACTCTATTAATGTGCATATGAACTATTAACAAAAAAACAAGATTCGGCCGCACATGGAACACTGTTCTCACCTCTGGGCTGGTGCACTTAAATACCAGGTTCTTCTATTTGACCGTATTCAACGAAGAGCTGCTCGAATCATAGACGACCAAATCCAGCCCGATCGCCTCGACTCCTCTGGCCTTGCGAAGAGATGTTGCAACACTTAGCATTGTCTATCAGATATATCATGGGGAATGCTCTGAGGAATTGTTCGGGTTGATACCTGCTAATGTATTTCACCATCGTACAACTCGTCGAACCGCCAATTACCATCGACACCACTTTGGTGATTGGTGATCCACCACTGTGCGCTTTTCACGCAATTTTCTGCGTTGCACAAAAAATGGTTGTTTATTTAATCCGTATTCGTTAGCTATGTTTTTATTCGCCATGAAACTTACTTTGTCAAACCCAATGTAACAAATTAGATGACAATTTTTTTTTTTACAAAAATTAGTGGGAGAAGATAAGAAAAAATGGGAGGAGGACTTCTCATTTCTAACACCTTTTTTGTTTGTATTTACCAACAAATGTTTTTCTTGTAATTTGAAAGTGATTGCATAAAAACTCAATTACTTTACAAACCTATTATGTCATCTTGATTCTCTGACTAAAACTGTATTCACATTTAGCCATTTGGAAAAAATTAAGTATTGTAATTGAAATTCAAATTGTATTAGCCAGAAGACACATTTTCGAATCCCGCATCGCCAAAAAAAACCTTTCGAAAATTTATCTTTTAAACTAAAATTTACAATAACCTACTTAAAAGGGCATGTTGAAATAAAAATCTGTGTATGAACTACTTCAGTTACCAAAAACAAAATATAGTCCGTGAAAGTTCAAGTGGAAGTGAACAATAAATATCACGTACTAGAATCGTGTAAAGTAAAAATTACTTATCTAAATGTAATATTTAACAGTTTCCACATGAAATTTAAACTTACTTTATTATCTTTTTCGTGGCCAGATAAATGTTGCTAATGTTTTTGAATAGTTTTATATCTTTACTAATATTATAAAGGCGAAAGTTTTTATGTATAAATGGATGTTTGTTACTCTTTCACGCAATTACTACGGAATGGATTCTAATGAAACTTTACAATAATATAGCTTATACATCAGAATAAGCTATAGACTATAATTTATATAAATATTTTATGTATATCTGTCTTTCTGTCTGAATGTGTTGTCCTTCGGCTTATTCGCTAAAATACGATAGGGCTGGCAAAAGAGCTGTTCACAGTTGTGTTAGGTCACACGTACCGTCGCAAGGTCACGGCGTCTACCGCACGTAACACTATCGAATGATATATACGGCAATAGGCCCCCGATCGCACTGCGATATCTTAGAGTGTTATGATTTACTGTCATTATTCCATTCTGTATTGATCTATAAATCCTCGCTTGGTACAGTAACGAGAGTTTTCGTCTCTACTACAGTGGTGTTTTGGCGGCGTGATTTATATCCAGGGCTTCTTCGTCTTGACCTCACTAACGATATATATGTATACTTGTTAAGTAAGAGCCATTTTTTGATTCTTATTTCAACCAATATAAATAAATAAAATAAATAAATGAAGACATGAGTGGATGAAGGGGTTATGTTACATTTTTAAAAAAATCTGTTTTTTGCATCGAATGAAGGTGTAATGTGGTTAAAAACGATATTAAACCTTAAAACACCGCTGTTTGAGCTTAGTTTCAGAGATAGCAAGTGATGAAGGGGTTATGTACCAACATAAAATAATATTCACAGTGAAAGAAAGTGGCATGGGCACTTATCATATTTTTTAATTTAAAATTATTTAAGTATATTACTTTCTTGCACGGATGAATGAGGCAAGTGCCAGAAAACAGGCGCGGGCTTTGCGTTGTTCTGGATGAAGGTGTTATGTGATGTACTTGTCTCTTTCTTCCATTTCGTATCATGTTTCGTATTATGTTTTAAAAAATAAGTCTGCGATATACAAATATTTTATAAAAAACAAAAGCATAACAACAGAGGTTTGCTAATTGGGATTGTGTGGTCTGTACCAAATATCGCGGAAGAAGGTGGATATTTTTATAATCCACAAAATCAACAGTGGCGCTTCTGTTCCACTTCCACATAGATGAAGCAGACACAATAATCGTCCCCATAAAACGCATGAAGAGGTACGCAAAAAACTGCGTATGTCAACCTTTCCGGCGGAACAGTCTCAATACTCGCGTAGCAAAAATATATTATACAAAGTTATTTGTCACCACTTTTAAAAGTCACTAAAATGCACGAAGCTTATTTAACGATGTTTGAGAAGTTGAAATTACCGGCAAAATATAAAATTAAGAAAAGTACATAATTATAAAAAAAGTTTTCACTGAATTTATTCTCTCGTTTGGATACCCCATATCTATTACTTATGATGCTAGAAATTCAAATGAAAAGCTGATACATGCTTTTCATTTGAATTACCACGCTGCGATTGAAGCCATTATAACAGATTGACCCAAAAAAGACAATGGATTTTTATACCTCACAGTAGAATGTTATTAGTATTAATAATGTTTTTTAGTTTCCGGTTTGAAGCCGGTTTTTTTGTTAATATTATACGGAATTATATTATAATCTGGGCATCCATGTTAGTGACCGGACCAAACAACAAGCTGTGGACAGAAGATGTAGCCGACAGAAGTATTGTTGATGATGCTAGCTCCCTACTAAGATTTGTTGAAGTGCATCCATCTTGTCGCAAAAAAAGTCATTTATTTATATGGTTGGATTCCTGTGCTGGACAGAATAAAAAAATTATCTACCAAGACATGATCATGAAGGGTTATTTTAAAATCATTGACCACAAATTTCCCAATTTCGGTCATTCTTATCTGGACTCTGATAGAGATTTTGGTCGCATCGAAAAGATCATGGGCAAGCATGAGGCGCCTGAGCAATATCGAGAGATTATATGAAAAAAAAAATATCTAGAACCAATGTTATTATCGATATGACGGATCGTTATCGTAAGATGACTCGTTGCAAAATCAACTCAATTTGATAAACAGAAAAAAAAGACGAAAACAAGCAAAGGGTTAATTTCTGGGATGGTATTCAGTGGATAAGGGTAGAAGGATTCGGTGCCTTCTTATATAAAGAAAGTTATGATGAAAACATGCCTTATAGAAAAGTAGATATATTAAAAAAAGAGGACAAGTAGAAGACTTTTTAGTTGAACGGGTACAAAGAAAATATGGTACAATTTCTGAAGAAAAGAAAGCTAATATTAAAGAACAGATAAAATTTTTGAAACCTGTAACGTTTTAATGAATGAGTGTATAGTTAATGATGTTAATGATGGGAAGATTTAATAAAAGCTTTATTAGCAGTTAAGATGTTGTATTTATCCCATCAATTTAAAGTTACAATCCCGGGACTAGTTCAGATACAATATATTTTAAAAAATATAACAATAATAATGAGTTGGGTGCCTTGTCTGTTAGGAACAGACTGTTATAATAATTACAACTAAGTATCTCAGGGAGTCGTGAGTACATAGGACCTACACATTACTTTGTGCGACCATAAAAGGTTAAATAATTAAATTAATTTGAGATTATTAAAGTTATGCAATTCAATTTAAAAACAAAGTCCAATCAGGTAGTTATTTTAAATCTTTATCACTGCAGACACCAGCCCTGTGTGCACAGGTCAGCGTTGAGCTCAGAACCAGTAGAGAAAGTCAGGCTAAGTGTAGTGTGTATAGCCACACTGTTGGGGGGTATGTAGGAGACCTCCTGCCAACAAACACTACATTGTAGAACTAACAAAGGCAGGGATATGAATCCACCCAAAATTATAAGATGTGAAACACTTACCAAACGGAGGCAAAAAACAACATTCAATCGAGCAGCAGCTCAGACCAGCTTGCCAGCCACCTATGCCTTCAGCATCCACCTGTGATATTCGAAAAACCATACTTAGAAACACGAGACAATAAATTCTCAACCTACCTTCATGTGACATTTCTAAATACATTCACAATGCAAGTCTTTTACAATTTTAGTAGGAAACCAGTGAAAATAACAGAGAATCTTACCACGAGGGATAACAAATCCAGCACAGAGTTTCCAACCTCTAGCTATGCACTGTAAAAAAAGCGAATTGATAAGAAAACGAAATACGTAAACAAAACAACCACTGGCATGAACAAAACCAAGCAATGTAACGTTTTAATGAATGAGTGTATAGTTAATGATGTTAATGATGGGAAGATTTAATAAAAGATTTATTAGCAGTTAAGATGTTGTATTTATCCCATCAATTTAAAACGTTACAAACCGGAATTATGAACACTTTGTAGGTCCAGATTAACCCGACACACATGTAATTTTTTTTTTGGTTTTATTACGTTAATTATGTAGTTAATTCATTCACCCGTAAATTAAGTATGAAACTTCTTTATTATCAAGAAAAGAGTTATGTAGATTTTTTTTTTCAATAAATACATATCCTTACACTTTAATCTTATTTTTCCACTCCATATTAGTAGGTGTAAATAATTACTATAATTTGATATTAATAGTTAGTAAATAATCAAAAAGAAAAACGATTTATCAACAAGCAATAAAACTTTGGTGCCCGTTTTCTCAACATTTACAAATTGTATTATATCCTCTTCATCCACTCATGTCTTCAAATATTTCCTAACAAATTTTACACAACGTTTTTTAATCCCAAACCAAAGAACGTTTTACTATGAGTACTAGATAAATAAACATACTTAAACATATGTCGGGATATGGTCAGACATCCGAAGTAAAAGACAAGGATGGATACGGTTATAAAATATTTTATTAATTTAAACCTTACTAATGACTTAATAAATGATCAGACATTAAATCAGCAATGATATTAAAGTAGGTAGACACACAATTTATATTAATACAGATTAAACAATAGATCGATTTTTTACACCAACCGAATCGTTGGCAAGAGTACCGACTAATGGCTGAGAGGGGGGAGGCAGAGACTCGTACTGAGACAGCAGTCCGTGCACCGAGACGCATTCGTTTGAAAATGCGTGCAGCCACAACGGAGCGGTCTATTTTATACTTTCTACCAAGCGTCCGGTGCACGTGCTGCTAGCGCATAATATCGCTGTCTCTTTCTTGCACTAAATGTCAGCTACCGTCACATACTTTTCTTTTGTCAATACACAAATATTATATTATAAACAATCAGACACGCGAAAAACACTATATTCATGTTCATCACACAATATTTCTCTATTAATGGGGATCGAACCCACATCCTCTCGCGCAAGAGGCATCCCTGTGGATCTACGCCAATCGGGTTTTTATATCAGTCGGTACCATATATCACCAAGACATAATTATAGTGTAATCACCATGTATGTCTCGAATATTAAGAGTAAATTTATTCTTCGCCTGCATCTCTCCCAGGATCATAATCTATCTTTATTCTCAAGTAATGTCAATTCTTTCCTTTGACTTTTTTATGTAATTGCTAAATTTATGTATTTACATTGTGACCTGTAATTGTCCATATAATGGTTTTAGTAGATTTAGATTTTATTCTAGAACAAATAAATTTCATAGAAATTCAGAAATACACAATAACGCTTTGGTAAGATTTATATCTGAATAGTGTAAGTTCCAACAGTAGATATCAAAATTTAGCTTATGTGATATTTTCTACAAAACGAGATATATGGGAAACGTGAAATCTTTGTTCAATTGCAAACTTGCGAACGCACGATCGCTCACGCGACAATGTCAATTTATATTCTGCTGCGAATCGAATTTCAAAAGGCAAACTGCTTTTCATAAATGCTACATACTATTCCACAAATACAATACTTTCTTGCTTCCACAAAAAAAAAAAGATAAAACAAAAATTAGTGACAAACTACTCGATGGAATTAAGAATTTGTGATCTAGTCGCGGTTTCACATCCAACAGGCAGCACCAAAAATCGAAGTATAGAGCTAAGTAATGGTAACCGTCGTTCGTAATTGAGTTATCCCTGTGAAACTTTAAAAGAATTAGCAGTCCATTTAAGGATTAAATAAGTGAAAAATGTATTTCTAGCTCATCCGTCTTGGTTTCCACTTTGTAAATTGTATGCACATCTCGATAATGTTGATAATGTTTGTTTTATCGTGAAAAAATTAAATATGAAAATAAAAAAAAAACAAAAAGCTTATGTGATATTTTCTACACAAATGTAAGCCTCGTTTCGAACCCTTTATAGCGCTGATGGTCACGGGACAGATTGGACGTCTGATCGCAAAGAATTAAATAAGACTTATTGCGTTTATTGGAATTTAAATCAAGTATAGTAGTATAGTAGTAATACTTGTTTTTAATTCCGGTGTTGAAAAACGTTAAAAGCGTTAATTAAAATTTAAAGATAAACTCGATTTTATTTAGTAATATGTAAACGAAAGTAACTCTACGGATTTATCGCGTTTACTTTTAATTTTAATTCCCGACGTTTCGAACCCTTTATAGCGCTGATGGTCACGGGACAGATTGGACGTCTGATCGCATAGTTAACCCGGGCTACCGTCAGTTTTTGAATTATTAATTTTGTGTCCGATCTATGCAGAGGGAGCTAATGTATCTTGTCTTGCAGTAGTGTAGTAATATATAAACCTGTCCATTGAACTTTATAGGCGCGGTTTCGTAGCGTCTTTATAAAATATTGAGCACTGTGGCCTATTTACGTATGTCATGTACGAACCTATACTAGCCTGATAAACAGATCACGTGTTCTCCTTTCCTACCCTTACTGATCATAGATCTCAAGACTGATAGCAGAATCATCACCCGATAAGACTTGGACAAATGAGTTTGTTGGCAAAATAATTTTAATCGTAACTATCTTTATAATTATAATTCTTCTGTACGTGTATATGTCACTGAACTCCTTCTAAACGGCTGGATCGATTTTTATGAAATTTTATGTGTGTCTTCAGGTGGAATTGAGAATGGTTTAGATTCACAAAGTTTGAAATTTTCGAATTTAAGACACATCCTCACGGAGGTCTTCCATCCGGTCCGCTAGTATTTTTTATAAATCATATGTATCATTTCCATGTATTTATAATTTTCATGTCAATTTTCAGCGCTGCCTGTTTCGGATCCCACTTTGCATGCGGATAAGGACCGGTATCAGCCAGGAGAAACTTTGAGAGCAAACTGCTCTTCGGCTCCCGCCAGACCTGCAGCCAACCTCACTATTTACGTTAACGATGACCCTGTAAGTCCAAAATTGGAAATATGTCATTATCACTATATCTATCATCATCGTCGTCGTCAATGAGCAAATAATTGGTTCCAAATATAATTTGTATTCTTTTCAAGTTCGTCAATCAATAGGCGTCAATAAATTTCCAAATATATTTGTTTTTTGGGGTCTTTTATGTAGTAACGTAAGTAAAGTAACAGCCTATACATGTCCCACTGCTGGGCAAAGGCCTCTTCTGTACAGAGGGTATCAGGACATAGTCCACCACGCGGCCCCACTGTGGATTGGCGGACTTCACATGTCTTCGAAATATTTTTTTAATTATTTCGAAAATATGCAGGTTTCCTCACGACGTTTTCCTTCACCGCACGTGACGTGATAAACCAGCACTTGAAATAAACAATTTCATTGGCCGGCACCGGGGATCGAACTCAGGTTGCTCGAGTATATTGAACAAAAGGCGAGCGCCGGGACACTGAGCTATTACGGCTTTTATGTAACAATCAATTATTTATCGAAACCATAGAAATAGCGGGATGTCGCACGTGTGAATACAGAATAAATAATGTAAACTATTTTTTTCCAAACCGATCAAGTGTGCAGGCTATATTTCACTTTATACATGTTTTAATATTTCGTTCGTTAACGTTCACAGCAGCGTTCGTCGGAGACTAGCCTTCATTCGTCGGGCAATGGGTTGTTCACTACACGGGTAACGGTTGAACTGGTGGTGACGCCAGGGCTGTTTCCTGGTGGTCGACTGAGGCTGGAGTGCGCGGCCACGATATTCGACGTATACGCAAGAACGGCAAAATTAGACTTCTTCACGCCCGATACAGATCCGAGACCTGAGAGAAGTGAGTACGATTGTCGATAAATAAAAAAATAAAATAATTTCACCAGAAATTTCGTGATAGTTACAAAGATTTTTAACGCTAATGTAGTTGACAAAAGTCTACACTCAAGCATACAGAAACACACAGGCATAGCATATAGAGTCTGAAAACATGACAGTTATGATGAGATCGGCAATATTTGCATGCGTACATTACATCCGAACAACAACCAAAAACCTAAATGCACGCCATAAGTTTTAATCGAACACTAGCTACAAAGCTACCACTTGATCAAGGCACTAGGCTGCCTCTGTCTTCAGCCAATTCTTTACAAAGTCCAAATTTTTTTCCAATGGTCTGCCAGCTCAGCAACGACAAGACCCTAGCTCTATTGCCCTTGGCAATTTTGACATAGTACAGTCGCTTAGATTAGATTTATTATTACACGTATACATGATGTATAATACACTGATGTCATAACTGCTATAACTGTTTTAATTTACTTAATATGCATTCCGTTTTTTATCAAGTTCCCGGTTATGTAGCGGCTAGTTAGCAGCAAATTCTATGACGGCTTCGACTGAGTTATTACTTGGATTTTGTGTTTTAACACTACATGCCAAATTCTATGACGGCTTCCTCTGAGTTATTACTTGGATTTTGTGTTTTAACACTACATGCCATTTCCTTTTCAGTCACTCTCAACGGCGGTGCGCCTACGTACTACCGGAATCTGTTTCTCCTCTTTCTCCTGCTGTTCTTACCGACGGTCTTCTGCCAGGATTACGGCGAGTACGAGAGCGTTTTCGACGGTAGTTTCCAATATTACGACGAAGAGAGTGAGGCTAGCGCAATGCTATCTCTTGTTGGAGGCTAGATTGTGATAAAATCTAAGAGAGTTTGTGCGCTTTTATGAATAAGGTTCCGACGAATTTATTCAGTACGGTTGTTCATTAAGATTGTTGATGAATGATTTATTATAGCTAAAACTAAATTAATACCGATGGAATTACGGTCAAATTTGTGACAATTCATTGAATTAAGATTTCCTTATGCTAGAAAATGATTTCCCTACGACTCTCAACTTGTGCAGTGATCCTTTGTCGATAATAACGAAAGTAATTAATTAAGTTATTATTTAAGTTAATTATATTTGTAAGTTAGTTATAAATTTTAAGTTTTTTTAATTAAAACTTTTTGTAATCATGCAAAAATATTGAAATATAATCATTGTAAGTACTTCAACGGAAAGAAAATAAAAAATAGTTTACTTCATGCTATATATAAAAATAAGGCAAAGTTACACGAGAGCAATAAGTTGAAAAGAAAAATCTTAGTCTTTTTATTTTAAGTACCTGACGACAGAGCTACTAAACCGGTATTTTTTTCGGTAATTTTGTTTTTTTCGGTATCAGTTACTAGGTAAGGTTATTTTGATACAAATAATGTCTCATAGTGCCATCTCACCAACTTTTGAGGTATCAATAAACAAACATACAACAGCAAACGTTATGTAGATGGCTCTGTATGACATCGAATGTTTTATTTTTTTGTAAAAAGTTTCTCAAAGGTTATTTAATTATATATAGATAACCTTAAAAATAACCTGATATAGAAGTAAAATTTGATTCAAATCGTTAGAGCCGCTCATGTGATTCACATTTGTACATAAAATAATCGCTCATTATAAAAACCGATTATGATATTGAGAAATCGAGGCTGCTATGGCCGTTGCAGAGAGTTACGAGCTTACAGAAATTTCAATAGACAAAGATATAGAAAGCTAACGTCCGATTTCTGAAACACTGGTCATCGTAAAAAATAACTAATCAGCTATCAAATGGCTAATTATTCTGATCAATTCAAAGAGTGTAACCATCCTTTCGGAAACTCAAATGACATTTGACGGCTGATTAGTTAATTTTTACGATGAACAATGTTTCAGACACCGGGCGTAAGACTCACGTTTCACCGAGCCTTTCAAAGAAATGAATCGAATTGAAACGAACACAAACATGGGAGACATTAGGGGAGTAACTCTTTACAATGAAGCCAAAAATTGTTGACTTTTTCTCATTGAATCATCAGTGTGTGATTATACAACTGTTATGTTAAATTATAGAATAGTTTTTATAAGTTTTTTTATAAAGTGGGTAATCCATAAAATATCACCCACGGGTGATTAAAGAGATCACCAGACACCAGTTTTGATGTTTTTGAGAAATTGTAATGTTGTAGATAAATGAATGATAACATTTCAATATATCATTCAGTTCCAGAAATCGTCATAATGAAATAATTTTGATTCTCAATATTTTCAATGTAGTTTTAGTACAACTTTATTGATTGGCTCTAATGTATAATGTATTCATTTATGATTGACTGGAGTTGAATTTATTTTTTTCCGTAAGGCAAACGGAATTCCTTCAATATTTGTTTTTCGAATGAAATGTAACAAATAAAGGACAAACAATCTTTAATTTTAAGTATAAAACAATGTGCAATATTATGTGTTACTCGTAAATGTAATTAGTACTTTACACGAGTGCATATAAATGTAATACATCATAACTAAAAATTTCCACTGGTAATATTTTAGCATCAAGAGGGCTAAGAAAATTATTTGTGTTTGTATTGATAATCAGATTTTATTAAATGTTCCATGTATGTCTTAAAGGTTGTTTTCTAAAAAATATATGTATGATAAGCTTTAGACGTAAGTATATCATCTGGTCTTGTTTACATTCGTATGGTTATTTGGTTGTGTTTGTTACGAAATAAATCAACCCATGAACTAGGTTCATTCGTCTGTAATGGAATACATGTGAGTTTTTACGTTAGTTTTTCTCCATAAATTCGCACTAACGTTAAACAAGCGTGTGTTCAAGAGTCAATTTTTTATATCGAACCTTCACGGCCTGTAATCGAACCGATCGATGATCTGAACACATTTGGATTTAATCACCTTTGCACAGTTTACTAAGTAAATTTTTCTTTATAAATAAACCTATGGCTGTGTCTTGATTTGATTTTATTTAATATTTAAAGCTTTTGCGTATATATGTTCACCGTAGCCATTTTTACTTTTGAAAAATAAAACATTTTTAGTAACGAAAGACAAAACTGACTTCAAATAACACTCTGTGTATTTATGTTGATTTTGGGGAAATCCGCGGTCTGCAGACCAAGGTTCATGATTTTGGGGAATTCCGTGGTCTGCAGACCAAGGTTCAATACCAATGAAATTAATATTTTTATATATTTTTATATTCATATTTTATATTAATCGCATAATTCCGAGAACCTATGCAGACAATCTATTGCTGCATCACAACGTTAACACAGCTGATGGAACAATGGTGGAGCGATCAAAAATGGGATTAACATTACTAACATAAATAATTATCACCGAAATTATGTAAATTTTCTTCTTTACATAGTATAAAACAAAGTCGTGTTCAATGTTTGTACGCTTAGATGTTCTTAACTATGCAACGGATTTTAATGCAGTTTTCAGCAAGAGATAGAATGATTCTAAACCATACATCATAAATGCATACTGTAGCAGAGAAAAGCCGAGAAACTAAATATTTACACTGCACCCGTGCGAAGCCGGGGCGGGTACACATTGAAAACTCAAACACTGGATTAAACTTATAAGTACTAACATTTTGTTTAATAATCAAAATTCATCTAGTTAGTTGTAACGAACACACAAGAGATCCGATGGAGCCTTTTGGTGTTGTGTTTGTGTGCAGTTTCATCGTGCTACAATATTTTGGTGACTTTGTTTTTTGCCTAGCTTAGTTCGCCCTTAGCCCGGAAGATTTGACAGTTTCGTCAGAAAAGATCGACCCGCGAACTCAGGATACACACACATTGTTTCGGCCTATTTGATCCATAAACTTGAACTAAGCACTTATACTTGAGCACTTGTACTGAACACTTGTACTGAATACTTGAACGATTACAAGGATTTAAATAAAACCGATATTACTTATCTCTACTGGATCTGCATGCATTTAATTTTGCCAAAAAAATACTTAAGTTATCTTAAAGTACACTTTTCTAGCGTGATTATAAATTGGCTAGCTAGCGCCATCTAGTCACCTTTCGGCAATTCTATAATGACCTTTGAACACACATAAAAAGTATACTTGAACTTATGTACGCGCGTAAGAAGTTATACTTGTTAGGTTAACGTAAAATTAAAATGTTATTATAATTGCGTAAGCTAAAAGTTTTATCCCCTTCGCCAGTACTCGCCTCTTTGTTTGTAAAATATACATTAAATGCAATTGATAACGGTATACTTAGATAACATGGAATTATAGGTCAAGAAGTTGTTATTGGTTGCCATACGAATGCCGTGAAGTCGGTTGCTTTGCAACTTCTCCATGTCGCCTTTTCAGGATCTGTGAGCGCGCGCATTATAAAAATAATTTTTTCATCATTTATTTCCTGACGCTCCAAAAGAAGTATAATTTCAAAAACTTAGTGAGCGATACGATGACGTCATCTGCTCTACTACATTTTCGTGACCCCTGTTGAGGAAATATGGACAATCGAACTGAAGGGGGGCGGGGCAGGGGGCACAATCTAAGAGCTATCCTCAGATGGAGGTTAGCTTCTTGGCTTAAGCCTCAATATATAAAATCAAATAAAATTCATTTGTTTAAACACGGTGTACGTATTGCATGCAAGATTATTAATACAGAGGAAATGTTCTATCATGTTCAGCCAACATGTCGCAGCATAGGAATTGATGACTTAAGTTTGTGCACAGACTGTGTCGTTAAACAATAATTATTCAGATGAATTTAATAATTTATGAATTAAAAACGAAACTTAATGTTTGAAAAGCCATTTTACAGCTAATTAGTTGACTTCTACTATGATCAGTGCTTCAGAAACCGCGCGCAAGGTTATTTTACATTACAATACATTAGATTTTCTTAAAAAAAATTGAAATGGTATCAGCTTTTGCTCATGAAATTAAAATTCTAAAGAAAGAAATCAACATTGATTGAAAGTAATATTTTTTCATGTGCAGTAGTTTACGACTTCACTTTATTCTTGACTTACAATCGCTGTATATTGCAACATCTAAGATATCGAATATGCGGCTGACGCTTTTTGTATGGTTTCAGGCATTGGGAGTTGTATTATCAAAAGTTTATAATACGTTTCACGAGGTACCCACAAGAATAACTCCATTTAAGCCAAAAGGTATTTGAAAAATGTATCTTTACTATAGTTAGCCATGCGAATAATCAATTAGGGTTTTTTGTGGAAAAACAGACGCACTAAAACCCTTTAAAGTATTAAAAAGTCCTCAATCCTAAAATAGCACGAGATTTTAAATAATGTAAAAATCTGCTTTATAGTTCTCGGAAAGACATGCCTCCTTAAGCCAGATACTGGTCCATGTCGGGGTGACATTGCCATGTACTATTTTAAGCCAGAAACTATGAAATGTGAGCGGTTTAGCTGGGGCGGCTGTCAGGGAAATGGAAATAGATTCGACACAGAAAATGAATGCATGGAGACATGTCTGTCTCAACCGAGTAAGCCTTGTAAGTTTCATTTGTACTGTTCACACCATTTATTGCTCTTAAATAATCTATGAAATATAAATAAAGATAAAATAATTATGAACACTGTTTAATACATACCAAATTTATTATTATCCTTACTAATATTATGAAGGCGAAAGTTTGTATGTATGGATGGATGTTTGTTACTCTTTCACGCAAATACTTCTGAATGGATTTTAATGAAACTTTACAATAATATAGCTTATACATCAGAATAAGACAGAGGCTATAATTTATATACATATTTTATGAAAATCTGTCTTTTTGTCTGAATGTTAAGTCTTCAGTCTATTCTACGCAGACGTAGTCGCGGGCAGCAGCTGGTTAATTACTATCTATACACATAAATAAAATTTGAGTGTCTGTTTGTAATATTAAAATAACCACTTTTTACTAAATGCATATGGATGTATACACGCTAAATATACCAAAATAATATTATTTACAATTTTTGTCTGTCCGTCTGTTTGTTCCGGCTAATCTCAGAAACGGCTGGACCGATTTCGACGGGACTTTCACTGGCAGATATCTAATGTAATAAGTAGTAACTTAGGCTACTTTTATTTTAGAATTTTTTTTATTTTAAATTCTACGGGGACGAAGTCGCGGGCACGGCTAGTTATAAATGTTTGTTACGCTTTCATGCCAAAACTACTCAACCGATTAACATGAAACTTTCTACAAATATTCTGAGACATTGTAAAAAGGACGTAGGATACTTTTTATTAAAAATAAAGTGTTTAAAAAAGATATTTATTTAAGGCCTTCAACGCAGGTGGAGCCGCGGGCGAAAAGCTAGTAGATTATAAAACATTATCTTCGTAAAAACCACTAAGATTTTTATGTGATTGAATTGAGAAATAAAGTTGTTCATTATGTTATCAGCTGTTCGCCCAAAGTGGTGCCATCTCGCTTTCGATTACGGTTTCTGTTTTGGCGCCGTGAAGCGTTGGTACTACGACAAGCAATGGAATGTGTGCAAGGAGACAATATACTCTGGATGCGGTGGCAACAAAAACAATTTCTACAACTCGGAACAAGTGCGTAGATACATTATGCAATAATGATCCTGAATCTTATCCTAAAATTACTAACTAGAATAAGATAGTAACGTAAGCACCACGTTGGTAAGGTATCCACTGCTTAACATAGACAGCTATAAATTATTTTATTGTTGTATTATACATAAACACATCCCACTGCTAAGTACAGACGACTATCTTAAAGTCATTATACGAGTAATGAAATAAATTTCCTTTCAATATCCACTATATTTTTAACCGACTTGAAAAAAGAAGAAGGTTCTCAATTCGACTGTTTTGTTTAATGTTTGTTACCTCAGAACTTTCGACCGTGTTAACTGACTTTGATGATTATTTTTTTATTTGAAAGTTGGTACTTCTCATATGGTTTCATATTAATTTCATTATTATTGGATCTTGGGCTCCGGAGATACTTAGGGAACTCCTCGAAAATCAATTATAAAATGAATATTATATGCGAGATGTTTGAAGTAGGTTTTATTTTTCGTTAATAAAAATGGTATTATTTCTTAGGCTCCACGTTTGGCAATTATTTAAATTAATCTATGGGACATTCCATGTGGAGCGGACAGGTAAAAAAAGTTGATGATTGAAATGCCCAATATATCTCAAATTTACGCGCAATACTATTTTAGTTCACTTGCTTCGTTGGTATAATCACTTGGGCATACTTAGTGTCCGTTTTGATTTAATGTCATGGTTAGTAATACATTTTAACTCTTAAATTCAATTCTTATTAATATATGATTTATAACAGGAATACAACTTATTCTGAACATTGCAAAATTTATGACTTCCAGTGCGATTCCATTTGCCGCTTCAATAAAGGTGCCATCAAAGAATCAGCCGATATATCCGGAAATCTAAAAAAAGTTCTGATTATTAACCCATTGCAAGCCAGCCAACCGGGTGCTCTTACCATACCTACCAAGCCAAATAAATGAATACAACGTAGAAATACAATGTTTTTAATTTAATGTTTCTTAAATAAATCATAGTTTAACAGAAACAAAATTACTTAAATACGTACTGAACTGTTGATAAGTACTACTGGTGAGCGTTATGGTATTTTGAATAAAGAAAAGAGTTTTTCCTTTATGTGACAAGGAGGGAAACGGGTTTTAAAATGTATGATTGTAGAATAATTTTGAAATAAGGACTAAACTGTGGTATTTGAAAATATCTTTGTTTAAAGTATACAGGGAAAATTGGGAAAAAGAGAACCTAAAAAGGCGTAGGTGAATGACATAGGGATCAAACTCAGGTTGCTCGAGTTATAAACGAACGCGCGGACAGTGAGCTATCACGGCTCTATAGAACTTTTGTTCTGTCGGCACTAGAGAATGTGCAGTTGCAACTTCCGCTTCTCACCAGGCAGCATGATGAAATGGAGGTAAGGACGAGGAGGAAGATGTTGCTACTCCATGGGGTGGCAGAAGTCCATGATGAGAATCCACTTCAGTGCACAAGCAAGGTTATTTCTAAGCGGCTCAATATGCCTGATAGAACAGCTATACGAGTAAGCTCTTCTCAACCGACTTCAAAAGGAGGACGTTCTGAATTCGATTGTATTTTTTTTTAAATGTTAACCTCATAACTTTCGACTGGGTGGACAGATTTTGATGAGTCTTTATTTATTTGAAAGCTGGTTCTTCTCATGTAGGCCCGTATTAATTTCATTGGTATTGAATCTCGGGATCCGGACATATTTAGATAACTCCAATTATAAAATGAATACTGAGCAAGATTTGGAGTCGGTTTTGTTTTTCGTTATACTAAAAAAAAAACTTGTTCCAAATGTGATCGCTTGGGGCGAACTTATAGTGGCAAACCTCGTGCATTATTAGTAAAATTTTGAGATCAAGATCTAAGTGACAAAGTCTGGTTTTCTAAGACTTAGCTGAAAGGTAGCGTCATTACACTATCTGAGTTCATGATCAAGGCCCGCCATGAAGCATTTATTGCAGATCGGAAACGCTTCGGTGTGTCACAGTGTTGGACATAAGTAGGGTTTATCTTCATTTTTGAGATAATATGTCTGTCCCAGAATAAAAACATTACTTGAGTGAATTTTATCTATCTCAATCATTCGAGTATTGTTGGGATGGCTCTCTTGTGTTAGTAAGAAATGATATAGTCTGTAAAAATCGACAGGATATAGTAGCACACTCTGTCGAACGTTCTATAGAATTATCCTGCGTTGAGAGTCAACAGTATATTATAGTATGCGTGTATCGACCCCCCTCAGGTGATTTCAATCTGTTTGAGTGTGTAATGGATGATGTACTTAAAAAACTCTGTTCAAGTAGTAAATCAGTAGTAGTTTGTGGAGATTTTAATGTGGATTTATTACAAGTGACACATCTTAGTAAACGACTTTTAAATTTATTTAGTTCATTTAAACTTAATAATCTTTTTCACGAACCAACTCGTGTCACTAACTCATCCTCCACATGTATAGATAACGTTTTCTGCCACGATAATGTATATGATAAATATGTTATAAATTATCTGAGCTCTGACCACTTTGGTTTAAAATTTTCAATAAATGAAAAAGTTATTACAAGCAAACATAAGATCAAGTGTAGACCAGTCACTACTAATAGAATAAATTCTTTTAAAGACAAAGTGGCACATCATATGTTAAATAAAGATATAGAAGTCAATAACCCTAATGATTCTTATAAATCAATGGTTGACTTTCTCATATCTTCTTATAATGATACATTTAAATCGCGCACAATTGTTAAAAATTCAAAATTAAAATTTAGTGACTGGGCAACAGTGGGTATATATAAAAGTAGAGATTCACTGTATGAATTATATAATATGAGGCAGTGGAATCATGATCCCAACTTTCATAAAAGGGTACAAATGTTCTCAAAAATATTTAAAAAAAGTCTGTATTCAGGCAAAATCTATTCATATAAGAAATAGAATAATAAATTCAAACAATAAAATTAAAGCCACATGGGACATCATTACCCGTATATCCGGAAGACCCAAGATATATAGGGAACCTATAAAACTGGTTATAGGTAATACTCCCATAACATCAGATAATGAAATTGCAAGTAGTTTTGAAAGCTATTTTTCAGAAATTGCAGTTAATGTCACATGTACATTAAAATCATCTCCCATAGATGCAATTAACGTTCTAAGAAATAATGTTACCTTTTGTCCACACACATTTAAATTTAATCACGTAGATACTTATGATATTATAAAAGTTTTGAATTCTATTAATCTTACGAATACAGGGGATTTATGGGGCATGTCCATAAAATTAATGACCACAATAATGCCATATATTGCACCACATTTAGCTAATATTTTTAACAACTGCATAGATTCTGGAATATTTCCAGATCTTATGAAATTTAGTAAGATAATCCCCGTCTTCAAAAGTGGGGATAAAAATGATCCAGGAAACTACAGACCTATCTCCATATTGCCATCTCTGAGTAAAATTTTTGAAAAACTAATTTTAAATCAGCTCTTAGTACATTTTAATATGAACAAAATTTTTCACAATGAGCAATATGGATTCACTAAAGGCAGATCGACAACAGATGCGGGTATCGCACTTGTCAAACATATTTATAACGCCTGGGAAGGGTCGCAAGATGCAATAGGTGTTTTTTGCGACCTTTCAAAAGCTTTCGACTGCGTGGATCACAAAACCCTCCTTCTAAAGCTTGATTATTATGGCATTCGTGACATCGCCCTCAATCTCATTGCCTCTTACCTTAGTAATAGAATTCAAAAAGTATCTATAAATGATGTAAATTCCGCAGGGTCCCCCATGAAAATGGGTGTCCCACAAGGATCAATCTTGGGCCCATTATTATTCTTAGTATATATAAATGATCTCCCCTTTTATGCCAGTGAGTTATGTGATGTTGTACTGTTTGCTGACGACACATCGCTTATTTTTAAGGTTGACCGAAATGTATCGAATTATGACGACGTGAATAGTGCACTTTCGCGTATCCTCCACTGGTTTACCATTAATAATATGGTGTTAAATGCTAAAAAAACTAAATGCCTTCTTTTTGCCCTTCCCAACGTAAGAAGGCAAAGTTTTAGCTTAAAATTGAATAGCGTAACCCTTAATCCTGTTGAGTCCGCTGTATTCTTGGGAATCACGGTAGATTCAAAACTCCAATGGTGTCCCCATCTATCATCTCTTGCGAATAGGTTAAGCTCCGCTGTTTTTGCAATTAGGAAGGTTAGGCAGCTATCAGACATCGACACTGCCAGACTTGTTTACTACAGTTATTTTCACAGCATATTGTCGTACGGCATTTTGTTGTGGGGTAGTGCATCTGATATAAATTCAATATTTATTATTCAAAAAAGAGCTGTCCGAGCAATTTATAACATCGGAGCTCGGAATACACTCAGAGATCTTTTTAAAGCGATTAATATACTCACTGTTGCGTCTCAATATATTTATTGTAATATTTTGTATGTTAAACAGAATATTAATAATTATCAAAAGAATAGTGACAGACATAAAATAAATACTAGAAATAAGGACAAACTAACTACGCCATTATTTCGCCTACAAAAAGTAAACAGGTCGTTCATGGGGCAAAGTGTGCGCATGTATAATAAAATCCCACAGGCGATATTAAGTCTGCCACTTGATGAATTTAAACGAAAAATTAAAAGTAAACTTATGGCTAAAGCCTATTATACTATTGCCGAATATCTTGACGACGCCAATATGTGGGGTTAATACTGTTGATTATCACGTAGGCTAAAACAAGACTATTGTACCTGTACTATTATATTGTAAACTGATTTTTTTAAAAAAAGAGCAACTGTTGAGTTTCTTGACGGTTTCTTCTCAACAGAAACTGCTTTCCGAACCGGTGGTAACTTACGAACGTGTTAATGTCTTGTAAAATTTTGACGTTTCATAAGAACGCGCAAGCGTCTATGTGAATAAAGATATTTTTTTATTATTTTTTTTTATTATTAAATACTACATTGTTCATATTGTATATATATATATATATGTTTATATTGCTTATATATATATATAGTACCCGGAGGACCGATCGTTTGTTTTTTTTGTAAATCGTGAATTTTAGAAATTACATTCAGATACAATTTACTGAGTTTTGAAATATGCATAACATTTTTGGATCTTACCGACCTAATAATAAGAAAATATGAAGTGGTGTTTTTTACAAAAGAAACAAATTTAAAAAAAAAAGGGAAAAAATAACAAAATCATCTGGATCAACAAAAAATCAAAAATAAAGAATGAAATGATCTAGAATCAAAAAAAAGTAAAAAAACGAGTGTGTAAATGATCGTGATACGAACCACGGCCGTCTGTTTAGAGGCCGCCCGATTACCGACCGAGCTATTATAACATTTTCTTTTGCGGCGAAATTTACCGTCATATTCGAATGATATCCTTCATTCCCTGAAAACAGGGATAAAAGGACATTTTCTAAAAATGAAACCTAGCTAGATCGATTTTTCGCCCCCCATTCTACGCACATACTAAATTTCATGACAATCGCCGTTTCCGAGATTCCGAAATGATGTGTGTATGTATATTATTTTGTATAGTCAATATTTGTTATATAAATGCATAAATAATAACAAGACTGAACAGGAAAATATTTACCTGAATAATCGTAAAATGAAATATTGTTTATAATATTGTTTATAATACGACCGATAAAATACAACCCTAAATAAACTTGGAGACAAATTCAAACAAAAGCAATACACAAACTACGACATATTTATTTATAAATAAGGTATTTATGCAAACAGAAACAGACATGTGGTTTTTCATAATTATTTTTGCGAACCAATGTTGCGCCTCAAAATTACCATTGAAATATATGGTGGAACGGATGCAAAGTCTGATGATTTCTCAAATGTCATCCGAATAGAAGCGAACCGTAAATTTCGGCTTGGGAATAATTCAATTGGTGTCCGAAATGGTCATATCTGTACGGCATCAGCACTTTCACCATTATGGCTGTTGTCTGCAGCTCACTGCGTTGAAGATCTACGTAGTTTTCATTACGGAAGACCGTTTACTGTTGAGAAATTGGTAATAAGGTACATTCGCCATGGATTAAAGATTCCTTTAGCGATGTTTTGCGCATTGTGATGCATCCACAATATGTACCTCTCCCCACGGATGAAATAGTGGGGTTAAAGCATGATATTTGCCTTTTAAAAACCTCTCCAATGAATCTTAAGAATTACATTAAACTGAGCGCTGTCGACTATAAGACTTTATACGGTCATGAAGCAACTATGGTTGGATTCGGAATTACCACGAAAACGCTACCTGATGGAGAAATCAAAACAGATGACACTTTGATACTGAAAAAACCATTACAAGTTTTAAAAGTATTGGTATCGAAATGCAATGAGGGAATCAACGAATATTTAGGTTTGTGCATAGCTTCGCGATGTGGTCAAGTGTCTAACGTATGTGGAGAAGACTCTGGAGGTCCTCTTATACATTCCTCAGGTATAATTGGAGTTTTATCAGAAGGTCTTATGACGGGATTTTGCTTGGATCCCATAGAAAAACTGCCCGTGGACAGAGTTTGTTTTATTGTTCCAGTAAGCCCGTACATTGATTGGATATATAGCTACATAAATGCTTGACAATATATGAAGAGAGAGACTCGTGTATAAGATTTAAAAAATCTAAATATATATTAGTGTGTGTAATAAAAGCGATTAAAAAAAGTTAAGAATTTGAGTGCTTCTGTTGCTTAATTATGCTATTGGCTTTGGCGGGGGTTCACATGTTTGGTTCTCACATGGTTGAAGGATTTTCGTGAACCACGAGATAACTTCCGGATGTGTGTTTTTGCTCCCAAGGTAGGTGTGCGGTCGTGACCCCTCCGACCGGGTTCCCGCCTTGACGTGGCGGAGGGGCTTAGTAGCCGTGGCTTGGTCCCCCACGGCGAAGCTAAGAGGAACCCACACTGGGCCGGCCTGTGGTGCAAGGCCGGCCCGAGAGGGCAGCTCCGAGTGGGCTCATTGAGCCCACTCTGGATGCGTGCTGGAAGGTGCAGGGGACAGGGCGGGGTGGTAGAGGTGGAGCCACTCTCCCTGTCTTCTGCTACCGAGGAGGAGTCGCGGGGGAAGAGGAGTGTCGGTATTGCGTTGGCCGTGCTCCCTATCCTCCGCGACTCGGCGGGGCTGCACCGCTGATGCAGCTGTGGTGTGGCCGCGGGGGGAGAGGAGTGTCGGTATTGCGGTGCGTTCAATTTTTCGTTGTAGTGTTCAATAAATTCCTGTATAGCCACACTCCACACTCTCGACTTATTGTAATCGCGGAAGGGCGCGACACATCTTTTAGGGAGCGTTACTAGGGCTCAATGTCCGGGATTATTAAATATATCCAGGAGCGCAATTTCAATCGTGCGGTTACGGCATAACAACTTTTTAAACTATTGCCGCCGCGCGGCGCTGGCGACGCCTTAGGCGGCAGTACGTGCAATAGGATAAATAAGGTAAGGGAGAGGTAATGGATGTATGTACCATAAATTATTTAATTATTAAATTATGTTTAATTGGCGTAACCACACGTCCATGGTTCCGACCGATTATTTATATTTCGTGTAATTTCTATCTATTATACCAGTATACAATCTTTTGTTTTATAAATTGTTATTCTTCCATAGAGTTCTTTATCCAGTCAATGTAGCGGCTTACGGGGGAAATATAACCAACTATTCTCACGCGTCGTTTCTCCGTGGCATCTAAGCAAAATCCAGTAGCTTCAGATAGCACCAGCACTCCTATCATACCTGATGGATGTATAAGAGGACCACCGGAGTCTCCACCACATACGGTTGCCACTTGACCACATCGCGGGGCTAGACAAAACTGTGAATCTTTGTAGTTTTCCTCCTCGCACTTGATTACCAATACCTTTAAAACTTGCAATGGTTTTTTCAGAATCAAAGTGTCATCTGTTATGATTTCTCCATCAGGTAGCGTTTTCGTGGTGATTCCGTACCCAACCATAGTTGCTTCATGGCCATATATAGATTTATAGTCGACAGCACTAAGTTTCATGTAATTCTTAAGATTCATTGGAGAAGTTTTTAAAAGGCAAATATCGTGGACATTGAAAGGTGAATATAGTGGATGTATTACAATGCGCAAAACATCGCTAAAGGAATCTTTAATCCATGGCGAATGTTCCACATGTCCATACCTTATTACCAATTTTTCAACAGTAAACGGTCTTCCGTAATGAAAACTACGTAGATCTTCAACGCAGTGAGCTGCAGACAACACCCATAATGTTGAGAGTGCTGATGCCGTACAGATATGACCATTTCGGAAACCAATTGAATTATTCCCAAGCCGAAATTTACGGTTCGCTTCTATTCGGACGACATATGAGAAATCGTCAGACTTTGCATCGGTTCCACCATATATTCTTAACGGTAATTTTGAAGCGAAACATTGGTTCGCAAAAATAATTATGAAAAACCACATGTTTGTTTCTATTTGCATAAATTCATGATATACCGTTATTGTTTCAACTTCTTTCCAATTTTATTGAGGGCTATATTTTATCGGTCGTTTGCAGCAACTAAAATAATCAATGCTCCATTTTACGGCTTATTCGTAAAAATATTTTTCCTGATTTCAAATATTACTTTTTCATAAAACGACGCCCTCTTCAACTTTCAATTTGTTTTGAAGAAAAAAATAAAAAATGTGTGCGTGTACTAGCGTACACTCGTAAGAAGTGAACTTTTTTATGACGTTATTTTTCAAAAAATAATTTACTATATGCAACTTTACAGAAATTGGTTAAATAAAGTTAAATTAGATAAAGTTTAATAAAAGGCTTTTATTATCATAGACATAAATACAAATTCTACAATTATTTCATTTTAGCTTTGTATAATATTTAGTTTCTTATTTTTAATACATAGGTTAGTTAGTAGTACATTAAAACACACTATGGTTTGACCGTTGTAATTAGTATGAGGGTCCGCAAAAATTGTTGATTAAAAAACTTGCAACTTGCGTCCTTCGTTGCCGAATAGTCAGCCAGTGAGTAGAAGGCAGACATTCGACTCGCGCGCGAGTGTTGTGAGTGAAGTTTTTTTGGAAAACCGAACTTGCGGACGTTGAATCGACGTCGCAACCGCAAGTTCCAGGAGAGGTTTCGAAGAGCATCATCGGTCAGCTTCAGATTGTGTCTTCGGTGGAAGGCGCAGTCAGGTCACGGTGGGCGGTGCCTGCCTTTGGAGAAGAGGAAGTCTCTACAGTGTCGTGCTCTGAAGTATTAGAGCTAGCACTGTCATTACTACAAATATTATTATTGAATTTCATTAATTGTAATAGAATTATTACTATCATTGATGTCGTTATTATATATTTGTGTTATTAATGGCTTATGGTAACTGAAATACGAAATATATTGTTTACATATTAGAATTAAAATAAACCCTTTGATTTTGCTGATCACTTTAATATAACATATATATATATATATATATATATATATATATATATATATTGTTATGAACACACAAAGGAACTAACGCCATCTAGCGTCAACTATTAAAACCACAACAACAAGATGGCGCGTAACGCAAAAATGTTACACTAAATTTTTTTCCAACCCCGATAAAGAAGTTTCACTTCAAAAAAACGTCATTGTTACAATCAAATATATTTATTAATATTCCTCGTGTTTGTATTATTGGTTACAATATAATATATAATAAATAATCAATAATAAATAAATATTTAAGGACACATTTTTATACTAAGCAACGGTTGTACCATGGGTACTAGGTAACTGATAAACACACTTATTTTTTCTTAAATAAATACATATTATACATACATAAATACCCAGAAACTAGAAAAACACTATGTTCATCACACAATATTTTTCCAGTAGTGGGTAAGAACCCATTACGCCAATCGGGTCGTGGAACGTTCGCTATGGATTTAAGATTTTTTAGCTTATGTTTTTCTTACATATTTATATAAATATATATGTGTTAGACGAGCCTGCTTATTTGTGCAACAGCCGGGGCTGCTGCGTGGCCCTTCCACCGTAAATAATAAAATTGTAACAGATGTCTGTACATTATTGACATTGGCAAAATACTAAGTTCGTGGATCTTTAATAGTGCAACAGAACCCCAAAAAAAAGTTTTTATTATTTTTGTCTATCTGTCTGTCCTTCTGTATGCATATTTGTTCACGCATGACGCTAAACTACTGCATGGAGTTGAACGGAGTTTCCAACTTCGTATTGATAGAGGTCTAAAAAAAATATTGAATCCATTTTACCCCAGGAAAATTTCTTATTCTGATGGGTTTTGTTGAAAATATAATTATTTTGTACCTTATGCCATTGCTATTGTCGAAGTTGATCTATGACATCTCCTAATAATATACTCTGTGGCAAACACGGTGTAGTTGTGAATTTACGATTTAATTGTAATATACTGTTATCTTGTGGAACCCTGTTTATAAATACGAGTTGTACAGTGCATTTTAAATAAAACAACTATGTCGTATTTTACTCCATAATTGAACAGCTAGAAACAAAAAAATAAAAAATAAAAAACGGAATATGTCACGTAGCAGGACATTGTAGTGTAGGTATGTATGTATACGTACAGATGGCAGCAAGTTATTTCTATAAAATCCGTATTTTCTTAGTAACTATGTATTCTATAAGTATCATTTAGTTAAATAATCGGGTCCAAAACATTATTACCATTTTTAATATTAATCAAACATTAACGTAGCTAAGAATCCATTCAATGTACGGGCTAACTGTGACTACAATAGCAGCAATATTTACACGTTTTTCCTCTAAATTGGGAAAACAGTATCCCGTTCCTTTACCCTTTGACACTATTCCTATCAACCCTGAGGCGTGTATGACCGGACCACCTGAGTCTCCAGGACATACTGTTGTTACATCTATACACCTTGCAGATACGCAAAAGTTTGGTACATAAGGTCGTCTCTCCCAACATTTAGAAACCAATATTTCTAGAAGTTGCAGTGGTTTTTTCAATGATAGAGTGTCGTTTTTTTCAATTTTGCCTTCAGCATTTGTTTTTGTAGTTATTCCGAAACCAGCAATAATAGCCTCATGGCCGTACAAACTTTTATAGTCGACAGCGCTCAGTTTCATGTAACTCATAATACTCATCGGGGATGTTTTCAATAGTCCTATGTCATGATTCGTCGCTCCTCCAAAATTAATACCTCTTACATTATATAGTGGATGCATTACTGTGAACAAAACTTCGCTAAAGGATTCTTTTATCCACGGCGGATCTTCCATGTTCCCATACCTTATTACTGTTTTATTTCTTCTCCGTCGTGGCTTTAAGCAATGAGCCGCAGATAAAACCCACACCGGAGATAAAGCTGATGCCGAGCAAAGGAATGTACTATAGGGAATAATTGTGTTATTCTTGTAATTAACTAACCGCTGCATTTCGATCCGAACTACATATTGGTACTCGCCCGATTTCGCGTCGACTCCACCATATATCCTCAATGGCATTTTGAGAGCCGTACATTCGTTTGCAAGTATAAGTATGAAAACAAACATTTATTTAAATACAAGAAGATGGCGAGTGCTAGACCGGTATCCATCCACCTTGATGGACAGTAATTATATTACATAAACTTCGCTCGTTAAATAATTTTACCGTGTTATTCTTATTGAAAGCAATAAACTTTTATTGATCATATTCATATAATAAAGGAAATATATATTTAAAAAAAAAATGTTTCGTTTCAACATATTTTATTATTAACTCATTTTTAGTCTCCTGAATTTTTGTATGTCTGTTCGAGACAAACTTTTTAACTTCTACTTTATCATAAACATTTAACAGTCACATCTTAGAGCCTCAAAAAATGTAAATGCAAGAACTTACGGACGAAACTCAGTAACCTTGAGCAATAAACTTCACTTTTTAATACGAAATGAAAGTTAAGAATAATAATTGATTTGATTTGAAGAATAATATACTGAAGCCGTTTAAAAGATGAAAATGTTTAAAAAGAGAGCATAACTTCATTTTGGCCTATATTTCTTGCCTATATTTCTCCGAGGCTTAACAAGAGATGCCAAAGTTAAAAAATACTGCAAATCGAAATCAATAGGAGGTGGCGCTTGGTGTAAACCGTAATGTAATTGACCATCTTGAAATTGATCATCTTGCAGCACAGATTCCTGGTCAAGGAACAAATAAAAATTTTGTTTTAAAGACATGAAATTCTTTTTACAAAGTCAGTCTTTTGTTAATTGATTGCATTTTCATTAAAGTTTGAAAATTTTTCGTCCTAATGGATACTTTAAAATTCGTGTAATTATGGAATATGAGTTCCGTCGTGACATCAACGCGGCACAAACGGAACCTAACATAAACAACCTTTATGGAGGAACGCACAAACCGCTATTGGTTTGCCAGGTTCCGTTTTGCAAACTTTGACTTAAAAAATGAACCTAGTGGTCGTCCGGCCACTTTTCGAAATCAAAATCAAAAATATATTTATTGAACAACAAAAGTAAAGTAAAGTATCAGCCTATACATGTCCCACTGCTGGGCAAAGGTCTCCTGTGAATGAATGAATGAATAATTATATTTTTTATTTTTTTTATTCAACAAATACAATTAAAATTTTGTCAACAATGATGAATTAAAAGCGATTGTTGAAGCTGATGATACACAATCTACCGCCGAGCTAGCAGCAGCTTTTGATGTTAGCATCAAAACAATATTGTTCCATTTGCGACAAATTGCCAAGGTAAGAAACTTGATAGATGGGGGCCCAACGATGGTCAGCGCAAGCTACGTGTCGAGACCTGCCTCACGCTGATCAACAGGCACAGAAATAAAAAAATTTTGAACCGAATTTTTTCGTGCGACGAAAAATGGTTTCTGTTCGAAACTCGAAAGCGTTGAACAAATTGGTTAGATCCTGTTTCAAGCAATGCCCTAAATGAAAAATGACCCCTAGAAAGTTAATGGTCACTGATTGGTGGTCTAGTGCCGGTGTGATTCATCACAATTTTTACAAAACGGCATGAGCACTAACTGAAGTATAGAATATACGATACTAGGAAAAAACACAAGCCTTTAAACTTGCAAGTAACTCATTCATGGGACGGTGTATACGCTTCTACAACAAAATCCCAGTTAATGTGCAAAGCCTATCTACTAACGGGGTTAAGAAACTTATTAAAGAAAAACTTTTTAAAGAGGGTTATTATAATATAAATGAATACATTAACGATAACTACCCCTGGGAATGAGACGATCGCTCCTGTGTTTATAAAAAAAAAATTATGTACCGTATAACAATGTAATTGTTTTGAACTGAAAGTTGAGAAAAAAATGAGAAAAAAGGGATACCTACCGAGTTTCTTTCGCCTGTTTCTTCTCCGTTAGAGGAACCTCATTACGGAATGGTGGTAGATTTAAAAAATGACTATCGATAAATGAAATGTATATTTCTTATTTCTATGAATAAACGATTTGATTTGAAGACAATGATAAAGAAGCTCGCACATTTGCAACCAGCCTTGTTTAATCAATCGTTTTCGCTGTTCCTTCACGACAACGCGCGACCCCATGCTACACAACAGGCCGTCTCCAAGCTGCAAGAGTTAGGGTTGGGAGCTCTCCCTCATCCGCCATACTCATCAGACCTTGCACCTACCGACTATTACTTTTCCAAAATTTGGACAAACTTTTAGCGGGAAAAAAGTTCAATTCCAGAGAGGCAGTACAAAATGCCTTTAAGGAGTTTGTTGCCTCAGAGTATCAATAAATTACCACTGCAAACATGCATGCGTAGAACCAATATAATATATTAATATAATATAATAAAGCAAATGTTCATATTATTATTATTTGCTTATATTTCTTTATTAGTGTTTTTTTTTTCTACTCACCACACTCAACATCTTTTCATGCTCCAAGTTGGTGGAGATTGATAATTGGCATTGACAATAATAGATACTTAAACCTGAATATTTGTAGAAAATGAAACGTAAATTGAATTTAATTATATTATTTTCTTTTAATACTTGCTTCGTGAGTTTTGAAGCAACTTAAATAACGACTAGTCCTGACGTTTTAACCATTACCCTTTACATAATGCATCTTAAGAAACCACATAAAATTAGACTTAAATAGCTGTCCATGGTGATTTACGTTGCATTCTCCAAAGCTTTTAATAAATTTGAGTATAACTGCTCCGAACTGTAACAGACAGAAAAGAAAAAAAAAATGTGATGATTATTATAAAATTTTCCAAAATTAAAAAATGAATACACTCGCACTATAGCAGTAATAAACATTAGTTATAACTTTTCTACTACAAAACAGGTTATTGCGATTATCATTTCTTTTTCAATATCTAAATGTACAAACGCATTTACTACATAAAATTTCAAAAGATTTTAAATTTGCTCTTAAGTGCAGAGAATGTCACTGTAAAAATTAACAATTAAAAATATAAATGTAATCTAATAGGTAAATTGTCGAAAAATTTTTGAAGCTTGTATTATGTATTGCGCGGATTTTATAGCTTGGTATCAATAACTTATTTTTGGTTTATTTATTGCGCGAATCCGAATAGCGTGGTATCCCTAAATTAACTTATTTTATTTACCAACGAGTAGCGTTTGTGTACATATAATAAATATAGGAAATTACCACGTATGGGAGATTCTTTAAGAGGTTATCTGCACTCGAGATGAAATTTGAATGCGTTTAAAGTTTTAAATTGTCGAAATTTTTTGGCACAGAATTCGAGCCAAACTCTTCTGTGTAACATTAAAGTTTAATAAGTAAATTGTCAATCTTTTTTTCTTTTTTTAAGGTCGTTTTATAAACATAAATTTCACGCGGCCAAATACCAAGAAGCGTGTGGGAATCTAACCCATTGCCCCCGACGCCGAAGCCAATACCTTGGCAACTGCGTCACGGAGTCATCAAATTGTTGACAATTTATGAATGAATGAATGAATGAATATTCTTTATTGCACACACCATGGTAAAAAGACATTAAAAATAACAATTATGTAAGGGGTGTACAATGGGCGGTCCTATTACTTAAAGCAATTTCTTCCAGGCAACCTTTGGATGGACATAATATGAAAAGAATATTTTAGGGGTGTGGGTAAAATTCTATAAATTTTATAAGATAAATACATACTTTGTTATAAAAAATAAATATATAAGTACATAAATACCTAAAAATATATATATATATATATACATTCTATATCTAAACCAGATTTATCTGTTAAACTCACATTCAGTAACCATGTACATCTACAAACTTACCGGCCGTTGCTAACAGACTTGATAAGCTTAAATACGTAGCTTGGGCACACTTCAGGGTGCATAAAACGTGCGTGAAATAGTGTTCCTTGACAGAAGCAGTACAATAGGGTGGGCAGTAAAGTGGTTTCTGGTATGATTTTCTTCTCGTAAAGAATGGTGGAATACAGCTGTAAGGAAAAGTAAATTTAATCATTAAAACACATTTCAAAGATCTAGAACCCTGAATCATTAATACTGATACGCAATTAAATAATGCATACTATTTAATATTATTATTTTTGGAACGAAGTACCTTATCGCGCGTTGTGAAAGGGGGCTAAACGGAAAAAATTCTCACGAAAAGTTGTAAGGACATTTTTTTTATGTGAGAAAATGGCAAACGCTGGCGGGTCACCTGATGTGAAGCAATAACACCTCTCACCTCACTCACCACATGAAACTCTCACTAATTCACGCCCGTCTTCTGTGAGGTCGTGGTACTAACCCGGACGGACCTGCTCATTCGTGCAACAGCGTACACTGTTGCGTGGCCCTACCACGGGCCCTGCCAAAAATAATGCAAACTATTTACTTCGGTCTACGAGGGGCGTAAGATATATGGGCATTACAACGGTGCGCTAACGTAATAATAAATGAATGAGAATAAATTAATAAATATTTCAGGACACATTTACTCAACGTCGCGTTGTCCTCCCAAACTAAGTAAAACTTGTACTATGGATATTAGGTAAACGATAAAGATATTTAAATATAGTTCTTTTTTGTAAATAAATACTTTTTAATGATAAATAAATACTTAGACCCTAGAAAGACACTATGCTCATCACACAATATTTTCCAGTAGTGGGTATCGAACCCACACCTTTTAGGTGCAAGATACAGGTCAATTATCCACTACGCCAATCGGGTCGTCAAAACTAGTAATTGCGCGTGTTTTAATATTTGCTGATTTAGAGTCACCGTAACAAACTTTATGATGGTAAACAATTTTCGTTTTATAATACATCATAATACGTCATAGCCGGTCATGAGTACAGAAACTATAGGTAATGCAGACGCTCGCCAGAATCTATGACGTCTTGTGAACGTGTTGATGTTTAACGGCCGGTTCCAATATTCTATCTACAGATAGATTCGGTTACTGGAGATAGAGCTTTGACGTAAGTATTATGGACCTAATGTCAAATACCTATCGCTAGTAACCGAATCTATAGATAGAATATTGAAACCGGTCTTAGGTCGAGCAGGCAACGAATGGGTACTAAATTTTGCCTACCACCGTCGAACTTGTTAGACGTATAGTGCGGAACATCTGAGCATTCTGTACCATTAAAATTAATGACGGCATCGCTACAATCTCTAACATATACAAATACGTTCCCATTTCTTTTTGTAAGATTAGTCTAAAACTCACTTAAAACATGCCGAATAATTCATAAAAATACAGACCTTTTTTAACGGTGGTAGAGCCACGCAGCAGCCTCGGCTGTTGCACGAATGGGCAAGCCCGTCCGGGTAAGTACCACGACCTCACAGAAGACCAGCGTAAAGTGGAAGTATGACAAATACTTTCGCGTTTCGTCTGGTGAGTGAGGTAGCCGGAGCCCAATTTTCAAAAGGTTGTCAACGCATCTGTAACCCTCGGGTGTAGCAGATGTCAATGGGCGGCGGTATTCACTTAACATCAGGTGAACCGTCTGCACGCTTGACAACTTTTCGCATAAAAAAAAAAACTTACTTTGAAAGCTCCCGTCAAGGATGCGACGGCGAAACCGATACTTGGTTTGAACAGAAATGACAGTCCCGCTATGCATCCCGCAGGCAAAGCGTACAGAGCAGAGTCAAATCCTCGATTACGGCATAAGTAACATATAACAGTCTGAAATGAGTAATATCGTCAACCAATGATGTTTAATAATATAGAAGACGCATGTCCATACTGCGGGACGTTTAAAACTTGTTCCGATTTACTTTGTAGGACATATATGTGACAGATGATATATAACGTATGATACGGAAAGCGATATCATTCTATATAGTTGTCAGTGGCGCCAGTTATGTCAATCAACAGGCATAATGTATATACAAGTACATAATATGTTTTTACTCATCGTTGATATTATCTGTCGCGGTCAAATGTCGTTAGTCCACTCCACATGAAATCATATAGCATGTATAGAGAGTATCTCTCACGTTTTGCGAAATACAATTTTTAACAGAATAAAATCTACGGCCTGTATAGATCCCATTGCTTGTCAAAAGACTCCTCAGTACAGAGGGTATTACATCACAGTCCACCACGCGAGCTGAGTGCGGATTGATCGACTTCACATTTCTTCGAAATATTTGTTTTTGTTGTTATTTCAAAGATGTGCAGGTTTCCTCACGATGTTTTACTTCACCGCTGTGTGCGTGATATGTCAGCACTTCAAATTAACAATTTCATTATTGATGCCGAGATTTGAAGCATTTAAGTGCATTCATTATTGATGCAGGCACCGGGATTTGAAGCATTTAAGTACATTGAATTCAAAGTGAGCGCCCGGATACTGAGCTATCGTGCATATATATGATTAGTTTTATAAGATATTATTAAGCGATAAAACAACCGTACTCGGTAAATACCAATGTAACTGCCAAAGAACATCGCTAGCCTCAAGTCACCCGCACGTATCAAAGAGAATGCCTTGATTGGAGATGTGATTTTCGTTAAAAAGATCTTTCCAAGGCTGATAGCGAGACCGAAGCCGAAGTATGCACTTGATCCCTGAAATTTAATATAATAATTCAATCCTACTGTGCCATGGCAATCTAGAGTTCTCTGAAATAAGGGTAAGTAGGGCCACGTAACAGTCTTCTCTGTTGAACTAGTGGGCAGGTTCGTCTCGTGAGTGAGGTAGCCGGGGCAAACTTTATTAAAAAAATTAGCAACGCATCTTCAAACCTTAGGGTTTTGCAAGTACCTATGGGCGGTAGTTATTACTCAAAATCAGGTGAATTCGCCACCTTCTCGCATAAAAAAGCGATATAGAGATAGTTGATTCCCGTAGCATAGTTCGACATCATCATTATCACCATAATTCCAGCCTGTTCTAGTATACTGCTGATCATAGGCCTTCCCCAAGGCTGCCACTAAACACTATCCGATCCAGCTGTATTCACCGACTTCCCGCACGATTTTTGCACGGTTTGACATCAAAATTTTTGATACTATTGTTTGATATTCCCCGTTATTCAATTAAAAATTAAATTAATGGTTGACCTGGCAAAGAAAACTATTCCTCTATTTGTGTTGGGCCTCAGATTTGGCAATAGAAAATAATTTTCTTATTCTCATTTTGCATTTTACATTTTTTTTTCTTGACTAAATTAATACACCTCGTATTAATTTAGTCAAGATCTGTTATTACGAGGTCATTGCTTTCTAATATAAAATACGTTTCTAATATGATAGTTATCATGAATCGAAATTTCTAAAACGAAATAAACATCCTTACCGAAAATACTTATGAAGTAGTTCAAGAAAGCAAGAATCGTATAATTTATTTAGTCATCATAAAATATTTCTGAGTTTTTATCGAGTGTGAAACAAAATGTAGCCATGGTATTATTAGAGCTATTTATTGAGGCGTAGAAAATGCAATCGACAATGTGCTTTTACCTTTAAAATATATTTCCAACATATTCCCTCGTGTGGACAAACACTTTGACTATCCTCTGTATTCCGCTTAACTTTTGCAGGAGTGAATAACCTGAAAGTATTAAAACGATTATTTTTCATAAATTAACATTTTTTTATGTGAGAAAGTGGCAAACAGGCTGGCGGTTTACCTGATGTTAACTGATAACCGCCGCCACACATCTGCAACACCGGTTGCAGATGTGTTGTCACCTTTTAATAATATGGGCCACAGTTACATCCATTCATAATTTCGAAATTTCAGTTAATGATATCAAATAAAATAAAAAACCAAAAAAATCATTCACTGATGTCATGTAAAATTAAGTTACAATATTGTTTATGGAAACATTTAAATTTCGTTGGACTTTGGCATGGGGTTATATTGATTACTAGCTGTGCCCTGTGCGTGGAATTTACAATAAAAATTCTAAAATAAAAGTAGCCTAAGTTACTCCTTATTTCATCAACTATCTGCCAGGGAAAGTCGCGTCCAAATCGGTCCAACCTTTTCAGAGATTAGCCGGAACAACAGACAGACAGACAAAAATTGTAAAAAATGTTATTTTGGTATATGTATCGTGTATACATCCATATGCATTAAGTACAAGGAGGTTATATTAATATTACAAACAGACACTACAATTTTATTTATCTGTATGTACATAGATGATTGATTTCAGATACAAATTTCGCTACGGAAGTTAAAGAATGTTAAAAATGTTTAAAAACAATAACATACCTTCAAGTCAAAAACAGTGTAACATACCTAAAGCAGCTTTGGAACCGCCCAACACAAACTGTGTAACCACAAGGTTTACAATACAAGCGCATTTCGCAAACGGTGTACGGAATTGTCAATGCTAATAGTAACAAAACAGGACCGCAATACATTTACCCGCGTTCTAACACAATTATTGAGTTGCAACCGCAGTTTAATGTTGCATGCGCGCGCTCTGCCATTACGCTATTTACAATTCTAATGAGGTGTTTACATACCAAATCAGCGGGGTCCTTATATCCCTGTCGCCCTCTAATCGCATTAAATAGAACAAGGCCGCGCTACCTAACATGAACATCAGGGTTTGTCTGGACCTCGTCATCGATAGGTGGCCAGATCTGTGCAACGTCCGCAACCAGTACTCGAGTACCTGCGAATTAATCACTACATGGTATAAAACAAAGTCTTCCCGCTACCTGTCTGGCCCTAAATCTTAAAACTACGCAAAAGATATTGATGAGGTTTTTTTAACTAGATAGATTGATTCCAGAGGAAGGTTTATATGTATAATACATTGCACCCGTGCGAAGCCGGGGCGGGTCGCTAGTACATAATAATATATACGTAATTTACACTGTCATATTCCCAAATTTGTTAGTAATTGTTTAAAAAAAATATTAACTGCCCCTAAGAAAGATAGTCGGTAGCCAGCTTATGTCGAAATGCCATATGACAATGCCCAAATAGAGATAACTATTTATTTATTTATTTAAAAACTTTATGCGCAATAACGTTTAATGGCGGACTTAATAACATTAAGTATTGTCGCAACCACTCAACAAAAAAATAGCCAGAGAGAATAAGAAGTTGCGAAAGAGCCAGATGAGATAGTGAAAAATATGATAATATTACATAAATATAAATATACACGTATACCAACATGTATATGTACTTTACAATGACAATATAACGACAGGCAATTCAAGGTGAAAAGTTAATATAATTAATATTTCTTTTTATTCTTTTATTTATTTATCGACCGTAATACAACACTACCCAATCATACACATTTAGTTCGTCAGAATATACGTGATGTCTGAGGGCCCTGGGATCTTACCCTAATTATTATAGTGAATTTTTCCAATGAAATAGTGTAATGCTAGTTGAGTGCTAATGAAAGCCTCTGTGATATTATATTAACATCAATATTTAATTTACATTACACAACTCTTAACTTTAAGATTGATATTTATAAAACATTTCATATCTTTTTAGCTAATTATGTTTATTTTTATAAGGAGGCACCTAGGAGGCATGGGTTCATACCACCCCAATAAAAAAGTAGGAAATTAAAACATAATACCAAAACCGCACTAATTATGGAGATAACTCAGTGTCCCGGCGCTCGCCTTTAATTCAATATACTCGATCAACCTGAGTTCGAACCCCGGTGCCCGTACCAATGAAATTGTTAATTTTAAGTGCCGAATTATCACGTGTTCAGCGGTGAAGGAAAACATCGTGAGGAAACCTGCATATTTTCGAAGTAATAACAAAAAAAAATATTTCGAATATATGTGAAATCCGCCAATCCGCAGTGGGGCCGCATGGTGGACTATGCCCCGATACCCTCTGTACTTAGGAGGCCTTTGCTCAGCAGTGGGGCATGTATAGGCTGATACTTTACTTTTTTACTATAATTTTGACTTTTTTGACGTTTATTTCATGGTTTCAATCTCAGTTCAAATATTGTTTATTGTTGTATTCACGATGTACTTGGTAAAATATAAAATCTAGTTGTAAAACATACCAAGCTACAAAAAAGATTTGTAACGAGTCCTCTTCTGCTCGGTGGCTCTAGGAAAATAAATAATCCATTCAGCATATTTGGCACAAGGAGGTAGGTATAGTATGTCATTTTGTTTCCCATTATAAATCTAAAAATTTTAAATCATCAAATATATGATTATTCTAACTGCTAGTCTCTGCACAAAAAGGAAGACATTTTGAATTGAAAATTAAATTAATCTATAACAATAGCGAAGGTTACGTACATTGCTCAAATATTCGTTGCAAAATGTTATATGGCGCGAAACATAGTAAAAATGCAAGGAAGAAAGTAGACAGCTGTCGAGATTTTCGCGCCGTGAGGTCATTGGCCCCTAGTCGTTGATTAGAGTCTAAGCGCGTTACCCGGAAGACGTGGGGCTCAAATCCTGCAGCCTCGAAAATTTTACAACAATTTATCTACAAAAAAAAAACAAACTTCAACTAATATTCTGTTGACATGATTATTAAAATTAGTATACAACGGCCAAGATTTTCATCATACGTATATATGAAAGACTCACATAATATTTCAAGGTTACTAAACTCTGTTACAGTTCGTGCAATGTACGAACAGCCGTGTTCTTAATGATACCTACAGCGAGCGGTTTGTATTCGTATATTAGTAGGGATTATGCAAACATGCCTTACCTAAACAAACAGCCGAAAGTAACGCAGGTCCCACTGACGAGCCCGCCAAGAAGTGTCGATCTCAGATAATACTCTCCTATTCTTATTAACTCCTCTCTCTTCAGTATTTTCTTACCACGCATCAGATTTTGTACCTAAAATTATGATCAATGCATAATAATTTCCTCTATGTTCTTTTACACATTAAGTTACAATAAACATTAAGTTTATTAGCAGGAAGGAACATTAAGTTTATTTCGGTGATCGCATATCAATCAAATATCTTTATTCAAAGGATGTATTTACTTCATAAATGATAATTATTTTCTGTCTTATACGACAATTCCATAAGTAACTGTGAAAATTATCAAGACTTACAATACAGATTACAACATGAACTTCTGAGATGTATTTAATGAATTTAAGGAATGATTTCTTGTAGTTATTCGAAAATAGCACATAGCTAAGTAAAACTATTTTATCGCTTTTAATTTTACTATTTTATCAATTTTAATTTTTTTTTATTCTCAACGTTGAAAATACATTACAGTGTTCATGATGACAGAAACACAGGCCACGTTGTTACAAGCTGTACAAGTTATAATTAATCCGAGCTACTGTCATCTGTTTTATTTTTGTTTATTTTATTTCACTCCATGGTAATTTTTATCCAATACATGTATTCTTTTTTTGTTATTCATACTACTCTAATTTCCGTGTTCTGTTTTCATGCGCATATTCTCTATCAATAATATCTGGAGTAGTACTCACCATGTGGATTACTAAATAAAATTTTGCACTACCTAAAAAGGAATCTGTATAAGTGGCTGCTGACGATTTCAAGCAGCTTCGGTGCCATGGATGTAGTAACGTGTAACAACTGGCGTCTCTGCATCCCTCGTCGAAAAGATGCTTGCTAACTTCAATCATTGTAGTTTCATCTGGAAAATTACAACTAAGATTAAATTAATGGAATAAGTAAAACTTATATACATTGTTTTGTACATACAAGCAAATTCTGACAACAGGTTTTGGGTGGTTACCACTTAACTAACCTCCTAACGTTAAGTGATAATGTCGCTCATTGACATTTGCGATACCCGTCGGGTTGCAGATGCGTTGCCACCTTACAATAAAGTGGAACCCTCATGCACCAGACGAAACGCAGAGGTATAACACTTCCACTTTCGCTGGTCTTCTGTGGGCTCGTGGTACGTACAGTTGGACATGCCCGTGAACAGCGAAGACAGATTCGTGGGCCGTGGTTCGTCTTTATTCTTCGTAATTATTTCACCCGGCAAAGTGTCACATTTGCGACTTTATAAGTTATGTAAACAGCATCAATCTAGACGGTCGAACCTAAACATGTAAGAAGTTGTAACACTACTCGTGTTGCACTCATAGCTACCACCATCTCACACCGTATTACGTAATGCAAGTGGCGCTAAAGCAGAACAGCCCACGCTAATAGATCTAATGTGTTGTGCCTACGTCATCGGCGATTTCAATTAGAATGAGAGCTCGTGCCTGCCCGCGTGCTCCACTCCTTGTGTCAATAGTTAATTTGCTATAATCAAAAGCAATGCGTCGAAGTTGAACGGCTACAGAAATTTGGCCTGATTGATCGCCGTTCTATATTTCGCGCGTAAAGTCGCATCCCGTCGCTTTACATACTTGAGAACATCTTGTATGTACGTAATAATATCCACCTATTTACGAAAAAACAATCCACATCGCGTCGGCTGCTGCTGATTTTATACCTAAATAAATGTGTATAATTGCATCAAAAACAAAATAAATGTGTATAATTGCATCAAAAACAAAAAAAAAAGAACAAGACCGCAGAGTTTCTTGCCGGTTCTTCTCTGTGCAGGTCTAGTTTAGTGAACCGGTGGTAGATTTTTTGTTGACGTTCATAAGAGGTCAAATTAGGCCTATATTGAATAAATATACTTTGACTTTGACTTTAAAAGGCAACTTATGGAATAAATATCGCATAATCAATACAATGAAAGTTTACATCCTAGTTTTCAAACGTTATTCAGCGAGGAAATGCAGCTAGCGTTCTTGAAATATTACCCCGTGAACTAAAGTATTGTAAATATTTTGTACAAGCTTTATAGGATCGATACTTTATTACTATAATTTATATTAAGAAATATTATCTAAGCAAATATAATATTTTCCCTTATGCTTCAATAGCTCTTTGAAAGCGAGTAAACTTTTTCATAAAATACAGGAGACAGAAAATTTAAAAATTATATCATCACTGCCACCTTTATACTTTTATCACTATTGCATACCTGTTTTCGTTGCGCGTACTACCGTGTCAAATTGTATACTGTAGTAATATGAAATACAATTAAAACTATACGAGACAATGACCTTAAAGAAATAATTTTAATTAGTTGAAGAGGAAGTAAGTAAACAAGGTATTTAATTTATATTAATTTTGATTCCGTATTATGTAGTTACTGTGAATGGAGCTTGTACGACCTCAAAATAATAAACTTATTTATTACAATAACTAAGAAAAAAAAATCTTGACTTGATTTAAATTTAAAACACTATAAAAAAATATTTCGATCTTGTGGCACCCATCATAAAAATATAAGTTGGTTGAGAACGAAGACCATCTATTATATTCTGTGGTTTCCTAAGAAATAAAACAAAGAAAGATTTTTTTAAACTGAAAAGTTGGCAACTGAACAGGCCTTTCACCTGATATCAAGTGATCACCACCGCTCTTGGACTTGTATAACATCTGAGGGGCTACAAGTCAGTACTTAAAATTAACAATATCGCTAGTGCTAGCACCAGATATTTTTATGTGAGTATGTGGCAAGCGAACTGGCGGATCATCTGATGTTAAGTGATAACCGCCGTCCACGTAATTACGTATTTGAACTCAGGTTGCTCGAATATAATGAATTAAAGGCTAGCGCCCGACACTGAGCTATCACGGCTCTACATAATTATATCTCTCTGTCATTATAGTTCATCACAAAAAAAAACAGTTCGTTGTTTTTTATTGTTAGTTATTATTTTCGAAATTGCTTGCCAAAATTATCGAAATATTTAACTTATGTCGTTTAATATCAGCATGTTCATTAGTATGCACATGATTTGTATAGAATTTTGATAGCGTTTGCCACATGATTACATATTTTTCATATAATAAAAGTTCGTAATGCATTGAACACGGCAACAGTGCACCTCAAGGCACTGCTGTAGCGAAATCAACTTGCAAGGTCAATTCATGCAGTGACCTTTACTTTGTGATCTTTCATAACCGTGCGCACTTAGCGTTCGCGTAAATGTTACGTTCAAGTGCTATAAAATTTTGCAGACATCTTAATGATATGAAATACTTACAAGGACCTCGTAAACAATTTTTGTAATTAAGTCTGCGAATAAGAACCGCTCACACAAAAAAAATAAACGATACGGGTATGTGCATCGAAACAAAAAGAAGACAGAGTGTTGGAAGTCGATTGGATGCAGGAGGCTCAGAAACGTGCCGCGGCCCGTATGAGGGATAGTTCTATGTCTAGAAGTGGATTGCAACCTACTGAAATGATGATAATGATGATGAAAAAGCAAGTAGATATTATTGACGGTCAAATTGCTACAGAGGATTTGTATAGAACCAGCCTTCAGCGCTTGAGACAGTGCGGGGATCCCGTTTTACCCTTTGGGTACGGAACCCTAAAATCAGACGATTTCCTGACTTCTATTCTCGAAAGTACAAAAACGTACTTTGGAGGAATACATTCAGAATGTTAACGTTTAGATATCAATATTCACGATTTCGTGACGATTTTTATCTAGTACTAATATCACGGACTTATTAAATACCGGTAGTATCTATATTATTGTTCCCTTAATGTCTTATAAAATATTTTATGTACAAAATTTTATACATTATTGTTTAACATTTAACTGCCTAGTGAATTCTTAATTAAAGCGCGTATTTAAAACATTTTTTTTAAATTAGTTAACATTAAAAGTAGGCTCCATGAATGTGACATTGGCATTTTTTCGAATTTTATGTCAAAAAAGAACGTTAATATACATATAATCTAAAATAGTCGCAAAACTCACAATTCTCATCAAATTAAATACCCATGCCAAAGCAGCCATATGATTGTGTACTATTAAGCAGTTTTTATTTTATATTCAATTACTTAAATGCATGCTATAAACATATATGCCTACTCAAATTTTATGTATAATTTGAAAAGCTAACCATATCTTCGTTACGTAACGTAACGTTTAAGAAACAAAGTAATGAAGACGATGGTTAAACAGTTTAAGTCCGAGGCGATTTAAGAGAGGATTAGGTGAACATAAAACTGTTCAAAACTACGCGACGATAACAACGTTACCAGTTTATACTATATAGAAAATAACACGGTCTTTATATAAAAGAGCTAATCATTTTTCAGATCGTATAAATACTCCTAAATAGCAGACATTTTATATAAAATGTCAGTTTTTGCGGAAAAATTGTGCTTTGACCACATTATACAGCGTGTCTTTACAATTGCGACAATAAATGAACACACATATAGAGGATAACTTTTTAAAATTGTATTAAACATTTTACATACTTCAAACATCAATATTTACAGAGTTATTACATTTTCCAAAAAAAAAAAAAACAATTTTAGAACATCCTTACGTATAAAAGTGTAACGTAAAGTTCATTTGTAAAGGCCAAAAAGCATATGAATGGGTTGAATGAATTTAAAAGAGACAAAACATACTGTTAGAAGGAGAGGCTTGTAATGCGACGCTGTGGCAACGAATGAAAAAGTCTCGAGTTGAATAGGTGTTACAAATTTAGTTTCTTTTTTACTTTATTAGTTTCTTTGAAAAATATTTTTTATAATTATGGATTTTTTTAACGTTAATATTGATTATTGGCAAGTAGCCTTAGACGTGTGTTCATTTATTGTCGCGATGGTAACGACACGCTGTATATCCACAAAAAAAAAACTTGGTGCGGGGTTCGAACCTGCCTCAAAAAGAAAGCAAAACATTGCAATAAAAATAAAGTAGATGACCAGACTTTCGCGACATGAGATTATCAGCGGATTTTGTTGTCTTAAATGCTTAGTCGATGACAAAATCTACTGATGATTAAATTTTAATTTTTGGCGCTACTCTCTGTACTCTTAAAACTTTAAAATGTGATCGGCGGCTTAACTTTAAAAAGCGTTTTGGCGCCAAACGCACGCAGAACACGCAGAATCGATTTATCTACAAAATTCACGATTTGGATTGATTTCAAACAGTTTAGAATGTCAAAGTATGTCACTAAATCAAAAATTTAACACGGGTCAAGGAAAACCCGCAAAGACCTAAACCGGCGAAAGACCTTTCTATTATTATTATTATTAAACATCTTATCAAATATGATTTTTTAAGATGGTAAAATTGTTTCATAAATAACTCCGTATAATTAATAAATTAATATCGACATAATATGCTGACATTCATATTACAGAGATAAGCAGGAAATCCAATTACTTTATATCGTTTGTTTATACAATATATTTCCTGTTATCTTTTATAAATCACAATAAATATACAATGATTCGTAAACGATAAGAAGTGTATATTATCCAACGAAGTACCTGTGCATCGCTCAAGGCAACGGATTTAACAGCTATCTTCAACAAACAGTTCTGGATCTTACCCGTTTTAGATAAGTAATCTGTCCGCCACACCTACTTGGCAATACAGTTCTAACAAACGAACGGTTGAACTAGCAAATTATACCAGTCAAAATAGAATTAAAAAAAAATTGTAAAACTGAGCCCATGAATGGCCCATGAAAAATAAAAGTCTTAAAAAAATAAAAACTTATTTTCGTACGCCAAAATGAGGGGAAGGAATAAAAAAACATTTTTTTTACAAATATTTCTTTTCCGAAGAAAGGAATAGAAAGATATTTTTTTTACGTGAGAAGCGAGCTAGCAGTTCACCTGATGTGAAGTGATAACCAAAACCCATGGACATCTCAACACCCGTTGGTTCGAAGTGTAAAATTTCACTTCACGCCGGTCGTCTGTGACGTCACGGTACTTCCCCGGACGGGTCTGCCCATTCATGCAAGAGCGAAGACTGTTGCGCAGCCCTACCAGACAAAAGGTTGGTAACGCTACTTCTGGTGTGTTATAACATCAGGTGAACCACCTGCTCACTTGCCTCCTGCATAAATTAAAGAAAAGTATATGTGCACTTATGTACGTAAATAAGAAATTATTCTTCTATAGTGCAACAAAAGAAAACTAACTTAAAACAGTAATCTTTTTTTTTTTGTAAAATGATATTAAAAACAATACATATAAAAGACATTTTTCTTAACATTATATATCAATATAATGTTAAGAAAAATGCCTTTTTTTATAGCGCCCTAATTCGATAAAATTGTATCTTTACATGATAGAGTTATAAGGTTTCTATTCCAATCTAATTTTACCTGTGGACATTAATGTGTTTGTCAATCAGAATTCTAAAATAAATACTATCTGTCAATCGTTCCAATAATAATGCCCGGTTTCTGAAACACTGATCATTGTAGAAGTTAACTAATTAGCTGTTCAACGTCCAAAAAAAACTCTTAGAATTAATCGCAGTGATCTTCTTAATGATCAGGATCGATTCAAATAGTTTAACCATTCCTTTGGAAACTCAAATGACATTTGAAAAGCCATTCAGCTGATTAGTTAACTTCTACGATGATCAGTGTTTCAGAAACCAGGCGTAAGACTGTCACTGATTGGCGTATGGTTTTATCGTAAACATCAACACTTCACGGTAAGGATCAATTGGAAACCACACAACCGACGATTATTTATCGAATTTAGTTAATTCAAACATAACTGAAGGCGGGAAATCAGGTACAGTTTGTTATGGTAAGACTAGTATCTCAATATATCATGATTTTTTTTCATAGAGAATAAATACAAAAAGGTAATTGTATTTTGAAACAGTTGTTGTCAAACAAATCTTATTGTATCACGAGTAATTCCAAAACATCGCATAAATAATTATACTTTCATACAAAATAAATTACATTTACACATAAAAAAGCTATTAATTCTTAATATCAGTATTTAAAAAAATACTATTTACACTTAAAAAAAAAAAACTCACAAAAAGATCCTATTGTGAACACCGTCAACAGCGAAATTTTCTTAATTATACGATCCTTCCAATGTAGTAAAACACCGCATTTGTTAGCTATTTAAAGGAAATACGAAAACCGCAAACGGATAGTTCGAACACGCTCGGTATCCCTACTGCACTGATCGCTTTGTTTTGCGACAGTATACGCGCTTACGCCGACCACACGCAGTAGTGCAGCGAAAGTGATTGACTGATACACTATCGGATCTTAGCAGAATTATTAGATACTAGCTGTTGCCCGCGACTACGTCCGCGTGGAATAGGATGAAAGCGAAAAATTCAGACAGATACAGACAGATACCTTTACATATAATGTTTAAAAAAATGTTACTTGTGTTTGTCGGTACACGGAAGATATTTGAGAAAAACTATTATTAAATATCCTCCTTTATCAACACAATAGAACCCAAAACAATGGTTGTTAAAATTTTTGTCCGTGTGTATGTGCGTTTGTGTGCGTAATCTCGGAAACGGCTTAACCGATTTGGGTGCAACTTTCACTTATGCATCGTAGTACTTCACTTAACATTTAGTGTTAGTTTTATTCAAATCGGTTCATAAATAAAAAAATTATATCAACTTAAAAAAAGTAATCGCTACAGCTGAATTGGATGAAACTATAGTTAACTACAATTATATTATGGTCTGTAAAATGATGATGATTGTTAGATAATATAAATTTAAAAACCAGCCAAATGCGAGTCGCAATCGTCAACGAAGAGTTCCATACCACAATCTATAAAAAAGGCAATAAAATTATGTCCGTTGTATGAGAGCCCCACTGAAAAAAAATATTCTGATTTACGTTATTTGTTGTTATAGTGTCAACAGTGAAAATTTCAACTGTCTAAATATCACAGTTTATGAGATTGTAATAATCTAAATCTAAAATCTAAATCTAAAAAAAATAATAATATCACAGCTTATGATGTATCTAACAGATGCTAGCAGTCTAGCTAGCATCAGTTTGTTTGAACTCACTAATCTCAGCTATTACTGGTCCGATTAGAAAAATTCTTGCACTGTTAGATAGCCAACTTATTGAGGAAGGCTACTTTTTAAGCACGATATAAAATGTGGTACATACGGGCCGAACCGCGGGTGAAAAGCTAGTGTACAATAAAATATCACTTTAAATACCACATTCATAGTAAGTATTGCAATTGTAAGTTCGTCATGTCATCCGCCACCTGCTGACTCTGCTGAGCATTTACTAATAGAGATATCTTCGTCCCAAAATAAAATCTTACTTGGAGTTTTTTATAGCCCATCCCTCTCACTAAATTATTTTTCTTCTCTCGAGTCACTTTTGGAGTCACTAATCCCTAACTACAGTCATACTATTTTAATGGGGGATTTTAATACTTGTTTACTTAAAGGCGACAATCGGGCGAATAAACTCAATTCTATCGTTGAAGCATGTAATATGCATATTCTACCCCTTTCGGCTACCCATAACTTTCCAAACTGTACACCTTCTCTTCTAGACTTGATTATAGTTTCTTCTCCAAATCTAGTTTACAAGCACGGTCAGTACCCTGCCGATGCATTCTCTTACCATGATCTTATCTTTCTTTCGTATAAACTACGCCCTCCTAAAATGAAACCTAAAATACTTCTGCGACGTAATTTTGGAGGAATGGATATTGACCGGCTCTGTGATGACGCTCGTAAAATTGATTGGTCAGTGATAGAGAGTGCACCATGCATTAATTCAAAAGTCGAACTTTTTTGTTCCTTACTGACTCAACTTTTTGATGTACATGCGCCATTACATTATGTTAAGATTAAACACCTGCCTGCTCCTTGGCTCTCTGATGACCTAAAAAAGCAAATTTTAAAGAAAAATGTAGCGTTGTCCAAACTTAAGAGAAACAGAACGGAGGAGAGAATCAAAGAAAATATGCCAAAATCAGGAATCGCTGTAATACATTAGTTAGAGATGCACAGCGACGCCATATCCATACATCAGTCGAGAACGGCGACTCATCCAGTGTGTGGAAGTTTCTGGAAACGATCGGAGTTGGTAAAAAATCAAATCATTCAACACCTTCAAATATTAATGTTGAACTTTTGAATCAACACTTTTCTACACCTTCTAGCAATTTTGATAATGAACTCAAAGCTAAAACTCTTCAATCTTTCTCTGCAACTCCGACTCCTAATTATCCTCCGTTTGTTTTTAGTCAGTTTACTGTATGTGATGTTAAGAAAAGCATATTGTCCATATCTTCGAATGCTGTCGGTAGTGATGACATTAGCCGTAAGATGATTATACCTCTCCTTGATATTATCACTCCTGTTATCACTTATATATTAAATGAATGTGTCTCTTATTCTAAATTTCCCGATGCTTGGAAAACTGCTCATATTATACCTCTCCCTAAAAAACCTAATCCCGATAATTATTCCGATTTTCGTCCAATTTCGATCTTACCTTTCTTGTCCAAAGTACTTGAAAAGCTCATTTACCAACAGTTGAACCTTTTTCTTAACACTCATAATTTGTTCAATCCCTTACAATCCGGTTTCCGTCCTGGTCATAGTACGGTTACTGCCCTAATTAAAGTTACCGATGACATTCGTTTGGGTATGGACAATAAACAGCTCACAGTTATGACCTTGTTGGATTTCAGCAATGCTTTTAATACAGTTGATTTGGATATTATGTTGAGTCAGCTGGGTTCACTTAATTTATCACCATCAGTAATTGACTGGTTTCAAAGTTATCTCAATGGACGTCGGCAGCGTATTCGCGTTGATGAAACACTTTCATCTTGGTGTGATACTACTGCTGGCGTACCACAAGGCGGCGTGCTGTCACCTTTACTTTTTTCTATTTTCATTAATTCAATCACTCAAAAAATTTCTTCTCTCTACCATATGTATGCGGATGATATCCAGATTTACACCCAGACAACACTTGAGAATCTGCCAGTAGCTATCGCCGTTATGAACAATGACTTAAATCACATACATGAGTGGAGTAAATCACATGGCCTCATTATCAATCCCAATAAATCAAAGGCAATAATTGTTGGCAGCCGGTCCTTCAAATCAAGAATTGACTGGTTATCATTACCGCCAATTAAAATCAATGGAGTGATAATCCCATACTGTGACTATGTCAAAAACTTAGGCATTTATCTCGACAGTACCTTAAGCTGGACACGCCATTTAAATGAAGTTAGTAGGAGAACTTTTGTAGCTCTCAGATCTATGCGTCGCCTTCGATCAATTCTCCCCATTCCAACAAAAATTATGCTTGCACAGACTCTTCTTCTTCCGATTCTCGATTATGCTGACGCTAGCTATGTAGATATAACTGAAGAACAATTAAATAAACTTGAGAGACTCCAAAATACTAGCATTCGGTTCATATTTGGGTTGCGTAAATATGACCATGTTTCTCAATTTCGTAAACGTCTCAAGTGGTTACCCATCCGATTTCGCCGAAATTTACATATTCTTTCTGTTTTGTATGGTGTCTTGTTTCATGGTTGTACTCCACCATATCTAAAGGAGAAATTTGAGTTTGTAGGGCTTCCAGGGGAAGATGTACGTTCTTCGAAGAAGCTCATTTTAAGGGTGCCAAATTACAAAACGACGTTTTTATGAAAAATCTTTTACCGTGCAGGCTATTAAGCTCTGGAATTCCTTGCCTTTAGTTTTACGTGAGGCGCAATCTATTGGCACTTTTAAGAAGTTAGTAAGAGAGCACTACCTGTCACAATCACCTGAGTAATATTGGGATTAAATACTATTCATGTTTGAGGTCTAGTATATATGTGTGTATGTATATATATGTATAGTATTTGTATATATACTATATATATGTATTTTTGTGTATACATGGATTTGTATATATAAATGTATGTATCTGCTTTAATAATATTTTATTAAAGCAGATACATATAATTTCTATTGCACCACCTACGTAGTATACGTTTCCTTTAAGCCATTGGTTGCCTGGAAGAGATCGCTATGAAGCGATAAGGCCGCCAAATTGTACATTGCATAAATTTGTTGTTCTATTGTTACTTTTATGTATATTGTTATTTGTGGTGGACAATAAAAGTGTATTCATTCATTCATTCATTCATAGGTTTGCCTTCTGGGAAACAATTACTATGGGTCACACAAATAATGGTCCAGTGTGAGAATCGAAACCACGCCGAAGGCAATGCCTTGATAACTGCGCAATGGTCAGTGATCTAGCGAGTGGTATTCGCGAATTAACAATAACTGACTCCAATGTGCGAGATAATAAATGGTGTTTATGGCGAAATGGGTATCAGCACCAAGTCGTGTTTGGTTTTCATTAGATTGTTGAGATCAAATCTTTCTCATTCTTTTAAATTCTATCGAGGCATTTTTGTAATAAATACTAAACTGTAAATTCAATGATTTAGAAAATACTACAAAATAAGTATCTTAATTACAAAAAAAATATCAGATACAATTTGTGAGTCAGTGATAAAAAACAAACATAATTTCCAAACGACAAAGCAAAATAATATCCGAATATCCTAGCCTAACCAAATCTATATTCCTAAACAGTGACAGATTTGTCCGTTGCTCGCCCTAGGCTCATTAAAGATTAAGAGAAAAGACTCGCTGGAAGGCACAAAAAATTAAACAAAGAAAGTTAGTACATGATATTATGGACCCGACGAATGGTGCCTACTTATTTGCCCGCTTGATTTGTTATAATTTTCATGGAATATCGCCTACGCAAAGAAGCGAAAGGCGAAAGGCAAGCAACGCTACTAAAAGACCCCACTAATTTGCAGCCCCCTACATTTCGCCCGCCGAGTACGCGGCCTATAGAGAAATCCACTACTGTTCCTAACAACTAACCAAATCGCAAACCAAAATCAAGAATATTCCTATACCGAGCAAAACTAAAATCGTACCTATCGTATAAATCTCAATTGAAGAAATTCGCATTATTAAAATGCAAATGGTCGGCACTTGACCCTTAATTAACTTGTGAAAATATGTATATAGCCCATTTTATGAAGAACAACGCCATCTAGTTTTTGCATGGGAACTAATTTCTTATCTTTTTACTTAGCTTTTTTTTAGTGAACCAATTGCAATAAAACAAAGCTTTAATGTTGCACAGAATTAATCTTGAATACTTACAAAAATACCAAAACTTTCAAAAACACCATACAAATTAGTCCAGTAGTAGGATAACTGTGATAACTGTTTGCGACTGCACTGCTTTAATCTTAAAACTCCCAAATATCCCGTTTGAGTGAACTGATTGAGATGAAACAAAGCCTAGGTCCTGCCCCAAGCTTTGCTTAAGTAACCAGTGAAAACTGCATCAAAATCCGATAAGTAGTCTTCAAGTTTATCGCTAACAGACAGACAGACAAAAATTCCAAAAATGGTTTTTATGTTTCCTATAACGCTTTTTATATCTTCCCCTGTACCCTTTTTCATTTTTTCATAAAAATATTCAATGTACAGACACGCCGATTCTACTCTTTATTATAGTATAGATGTAGCGATAGTACAAGTACAATTTAAAGGGACAACTATTTGTGTGACCCACAGATAGTTGTTTAGTATCTGGGTGTTTGTCCGCGTGAGATTTATGTTTGTGAAAACGTCCTTACAACACAGGATAATGTTATCCTAAAGTATATAATATAGTAATCGGAAGAAACGCAACTACACAAATACCATTTCACACTATAATGTACACACAAGAATAACGATGGCCCCGCGATTCGGCGGGGCTGCACCGCTGATGCAACTGTGGTGGGGCCGCGGGGGGAGAGGAGTGTCGGTATTGTGGTGCGCCGTTCTCCCTATCCTCCGCGGCCGAAACGTGGTGAGCGGCGGAGCCACAGACCAGATCCGCCGCTGGGGGCTGGGAGGCTTGCTGCTTATTAGCACTGGCTTTCCTGGCTCCGATGGCCCCGGTCAGAGAACTCGGGGGAGTTCGTTGGCCGTGAAAATGGGGCCGAGTAGGAAGGCGTGCTGAATGTTCCAGCGCACCTTACCTGGAGGAGAGGGGAGTTGCGCCCCGTGAGGGGCTGCTAAGGCGGCCAGCGCTGGCAGGGTCGCGGAAGTGTGCGAAAGCGTTCCAGTGACCCTGCCGATATGCGCCTAGGTGTAACATCGTTGGGGTTTTAGTCGGTGCGAGTCCGACATAACCCGCTCTTGCCCCCGCGAGGGCGGGTATGCGTAGGCATTTCCCCCACGTCAACAAAAAAAAAAAAAAAAGGTGAACCACAGGTGTTAATTATCGCGTCCGCTCCGCTCATTTACATTTACAATAATTAACAAAAAAATACATTCGAAATCCAAGATATTTGACACTCTCTGCGGTGGGTATTATTTCTTGTGCTAGTGCTATACTACTGCCATGCTTGTGGTAAAAATGTAATGATCAAAGTTTTTTTAGTGCATTCACTATCTGAAATCTCTGTACACGCCATGGCAGACTATCCCTATGACAATTGTTAATGAAGGACTTTCTATCCTTCTGTTCAGCTCGAATCTAATCTATGGGGAGCTTGGATACCAACCTACGTCTTCTTGATCTGAAATTTTTATAATAATAGATGAAAAACGGTATGACAGGAAAAGGATTCCTGGTAGCTTCTTTAATCACTTATAAGAATTACTTTTTTCTGGAACGGGTGGATGTATTTGCCGAATTGAAATTTATTTATAAAAGTACGATTTTCACCAATAAAAACGTGAGTTCCTAAGTCAATGCATTCAAGAGATATTTGTCACATAAACATCCCACCTGCAAAATTATCCATTGTCCTCGACTCGTATTGAGACATATTAGACCACGCAAACGTTTGCCTACTGCTGCATAAAACTTAAATATTAATAGTGTTAATCTCTGCACTTAAGTTGTGAGATTAATTTTGCAGAAAAAGGACGAAACTTATATCGCTGCTACGGGAATCTAACCCTTATTCGCGCCCGAAATCCGGAAGACGTGAATTCGATTTCCGTAGCAGCGACAAACGTTTCGCCCTTTTTTCTACAAATTCTATTGTTATATCTATCTTCTCTATCTTAGCTATAGATGACGTTTTCTCAACATTTTAATTGCACAGTAACAGCACATTTCTTTACTTTGTGTTACATTTTTCAAAGATAATCAACTAATACATATAGGAAATTATTATTATGATAAAATTTAAATACTCCCTATGCTATTAAATACTAAATTAGCTAAGTTTAAATTATTGCATTTTCATATTACATTTCATCATACATCCATTACCCTTCCCGTACCTTACTCATGCTATTGCACGTACTGCCGCCTAAGTCATCGCCAGCGCCGCGCGGCGGCAATAGTTTAAAAAGTTGTTATCCCGCAACCGCACGAGTGACATTACGCTCCTCGATATATTTAATTATCACGGACATTGAGTCCTAGTAACACCCCTAAAAGATGTGTCGCGCCCTCCCGCGATTACAATAAGTCGAGAGTGTGGAGTGTGGCTATCCAGGAACTAATTGAACACTACAAAGTGCGTGAACCGAACTACGTGGCGTACCCGCCGGTGTTGGCTGCAACCCAGGGAGCGCGAGCGCCTGGCTGCTGTCGCAAGGTTTGTACGTGCATCTCACCCACGTTCCTAGCTCTGCTTATTGTATGTACCACCAACAGTCCACCAAATTCTATCGTAGAAACCTACCATTATTGGCGCGTCCAGACCGCTCTTGAAAGAGATAAATTCCAATGAAAAAACAGATGACTTTAAAATTTGTAGAAAAAGTACGAACGCAAAGAATGAAAGTGCGAATGGAAATCGAATCCACGTCTTGGGCATTTGCGGCCTGACGATTTAGCCACTAAGCTAAACGGCTAATTGCCACAGAGACGAAAATCTTAACATCTTTTATCTACATTGTTTTTTAGCATTTGAAGCAATGCTTGGCGCATCCACTGTTATATCGTTTCCAGCAAACAAACTATTTCGAACATCGTTTTACAACGATAATTCGAACTAGAGATGTCGCCATTGCTTTTTAGAAATTTAAATGTTTTATACTGCTAATCTCTGCACTTAAGATTAAACATTAAAATTTGTAGAAAAAGCCGAAGAGGGGGTTCGATTCCAAAAGCGGCGAAAATCTTTCCTTACTTTTTCTACAAATTTTAATGTTTAATCTGAAGTGCAGAAATTAGCCCTATAAAAATATATTTTTGGAGCGGAAAATCAATGTATATGAAATAAAAAAAAATGATAAGTAAATTGACAGGTCATGATGAATCAAAATGATAATAAGTAATGATAAATGATGAAGAAATCATTCAGGTTATCATTGTGTAAAGATTTACTTATTCAATCCTCGAGATTTACTTAACCGATCCTCCTATCAATATTTCAGATAAACTTGGTGTTGTTGTGAAGTTGAATATTATCATTACCCAATTATTAGTATATCACTGTAGTAAAAGATATATCAGGACAGCTAAAATATACTATTACACTATAACGTAAGCATTACGGCTAAATATCCGTTACAGTACCGCCGGAAGTGCTTCCCATCGTCTTCCAAACGAAACAAGTATTCCGACATAAGCGATGCAATAAAAATTATATACGTGGCCATTGCGAGATGAAACTGTACGCTGGCCTCATGCCAATACAATTATATCGTTGGTAAGTGGACTCGGCTAAACAACAAAGCTTACGGTAGATTACCTACGTAGTGGATTAAGTGTGCTGGTTTTGGCTGCGGCCTTCGTTATTTTTGGACGATGCACCTCGGATGTTATTGTATATACATAAATGTACGAATTTTTATATAATATATAATTTTTTATGCATAAATTTAGTATATGAATGAGACATTAAATAGAATAAATCGGAGGATTTTTCGATTTTGTTAAGACATTCATAAATCAAGAATTTCATATTTATATAGAATGCCGTTTTTAACCAACCACGATTAATATAACATGTAAATGTTATATACAAAAATTATTTTAAACTAAGATTTTTCCATAATATTTGATTAATAATTTTAGATTTTTTTTCTCTTAAAAGCAATTATTTCTATTTGTCTAGACTTGTTTTTATAATATTCAAAACTGAGACTGTCGCGCTATAGATTGACCCAAGCACTAACTTGAATGCAATAGCAATGGCAGTCGTTCATTGTGGCTTTCTAAGGGGGAGGCCTATGTTCAACAGTGGACGTCTTACGGCTAATGATGATGTTGAAATATGGATGAATCAAGACAGTGTTTTGGAAAGAGTGGCGTTAATTTTGTCTAACAGCAGAACTAGAATTGATAACAGCAATTATCAGTTTCTTTGTTATATTTCAATTTAATATTTTATACCGCAATCTTTAAGGCTAGAGACACCTTGTACAAATATAACTAACTTTCTTTGTTACATGTCAATCTTAGACACGGACTGAGTAGTAAATTCAATTGCTTGTGAGTACATTTCTAAAATGAGACATTTTGGACTGCTGATTTGCGCTCGCCGAGTTCCGTCACTCAATCCGGCAGCTTATCATCAGGTGTCGGATTTTCGACATCCGTATGTCTGTCTATATTGTCCTCAAATTCGCCATTCCCACTTTGCTCTAGTTACTCCAAGAGATAAATACGAGAGCGCTATAAGATTATGTTGGCTTCAGGCCAATTTCAATTTGAACTAGAGTGTTGCATACATCGCGCAACATTATGAGAGCACAAAAAATATTGTATTGCTACTACTACATTGCCTCCTCGGGATTATCTTTTGGAATAAAACACAAAAGAGATTTCCTTATTTGTATGAGTAAAAATTTTGTAGAATTAAGTTTACATAGTTAAGTTAAACAAATTTGTGGGCATAGTGGATTGCACCTTTAATCGCTTTTTTACAAACATAACTTTATTCGCTTTTTCACACAGAAGGTCTTCAAATTTAAATTTTAAAACTTTGTGACGTAGTTTTCGTACTTACCATAGGGATATCTATGAATACATCTGGGATCGATATGGGACATTATTTTCGTTGATAATTTGATTGGAATATTCATTAGAGGCCGGACGTTTCTTTTTTAAGTACGTGAAATGTTGTCAAAGGAGCAGGCAGTTTACTTAAAGTCGAGTGATTTTTTGCTGTCCATGGAAATCTATAACACTTGCAGATTAATAATACTTCCTTGAACGAGATGCAGAAGCTGTAGTGTAGTCCTTTCTATTTTTTTTAAATTACAGTTAATACAATTCCTTAAATTTATTATTGTTTCTTTTTTCTTCTCCAATTTTATCTCATTCTATACAAAAAAATATCCAAATTCCGATAAATATGAAAAAAAAACTCACATCTTATTGTTATATGGTATCTTGTGTTAACTGATGTTTTTGCTTTCAGTCCCGAAACTATTAAAGCTTCATCTGATGCAGAACCGTTATGCTAGCCAGAACCCACGGGTTTGGGCCCTCCGCCGTGGTAGGGCCGTGTTTAATGGTCTTTCCTAGGATGCGGATGACATTGTTATGAACGTATTTATGCTGTGCGCCGTTGGTACTGGTATATTAGAATCGTTAATAACTTACTTGAAGGCATCTGCTAATTTCAAAATGGTTTGAGATTAAGCTTCTACTATGGCGTTCGATTTATCTTTATCGACTTTCAACCCCGATATGATCCGTAAACGCACTATGCGCTTACTTGTCCTCGTATGGTCTACAGATGATAACAATCGAATGGTAAAGAAAGAAAAGACCTACTGAATTTTGGAATTGGCCAACAAGGAAGTATTGAAAAAAAAAATTGAATTCGGAATTCAAAGTCAAATTAAAAATTACCTTCCCATTGAATTGAATTAAGTGTTGGACCTAATGTGTTAATGAAACTTTTTTGAAATAATGATAAGATTTCTTTGAACGATATCAGGCTTTATAAAATAGTCTCTTACGAGCACATATTTTTATTGCTTACATAAGAAGCCAATTGCCGGCATAAATAGACATTTCTTTTTCATTAAAAACATCACTCTTACCATTAAAGAATGAAAATGATAGACTTACAGAGACAAGCCATTCATCAAGCTTCAATGGCGAAAATTGAAAGGAGCAAAAAATAAACTCGGCCCATTTTGAAAGAGCTATCGCGGTATAGAAGAGCATTGAGGAAGAGCAAGACATAAAAATTGTTATCATTAACATTGTCTTGTAAACGAATACCGTCTCTCGTCTGTCGTTAAAGTGAGCGCTCTTTAGAATTTGGAGGAACACGAAAGATTATATAGGACATGGCCTCCAATTCAAAACAGAAGAATTTAAGATAAAAAAAGGCCTCTGAACGAAGGGTATGAGGGCATAGTCAACCACGAAACCATTTGCGGATTGACTTCACATATTTTCGATTTTTTGTTTGGTTAGTATCTGGAAAATGTGCAATCTGCATATTTTCCTTGCAATGTTTTTATTCACCGCTGAGAACGCGATAGATCATTATTTAAAATGAATAATTTCATCGGTGGGTTACCGGTATTTGAACTCAGGTTGCTCAAGTATTTTGAATATGCCGCCCGGACACTAATCTGTCACGGCTTTGTTGTTGAGTAGACAATAAAAAATCTGAATTTAATTAATCTTTAAATTGTACTATCAAAATTATTTGTTAATAAACATTCACCCTTGATAAAGTTATTACTTTCGGAAGGTCATCTCAAACCACAAGAATACTTAACAAGTTTTACCCACCGGAAAATGCTGGATTTCGTGAAGTATTTAGCACCAAAGGCAGCATAAGTAGCAAACCCAAAACTTCAAAGCATTTTCGATATGGTATATAAATTTTATATTATATTTCTCTCCCTTTTTATAAAATAATCTAAAAAAATAATAAAATAAAAAATCTGAAACCGACTCAGAAATTTGATCGCTACTGGTGAGTTTAACGTTACAGTTGGAAAAGAGAAAGATTTAGAATCTAAATAATCAATTCCGACTGCCAATTACAATTCCAATAGTAGGCGATATTGGATTTCGATTTTTTAATTGAACGCGATTGTTCTAGACAGTAATTAGAATCGTTTGCGCTGTGAATGGGACAATACTCCATTATCGATTCAGGGAAACGTGTTTTATCGAATACAACACACTGTGCAGTGACATAAGAGCAACGTCAATTTTGAACAAACTACAGTCCTGCCATATGAAGTAGTGAAGGGTAGTTTTACCTACTAATGACATTACTTACCCAAAATAGTTCTGTATTTCCGCTAAAATTATGGTCATTATTAAAAAGTATACTCGTAGTCTTAAATTAGCTGTTAAACAACTCTTAAGATCTCTATAACTTTAATAATAATAAAAAAAAAAGTCAAATATAATTTTTCTCAACTGGTAATGCAAAAAATTTATTGTTTGATGAAATTATGATGGTTTTTTCAATTATATAATACTTCTTGATCATATAATACATATCTTTAAATATGATATATTGGTATTCAAGCTAAGGCAAGAATAATGAAAGAAGTATAAAAATAATTACTCGTAAGTCGTAAGTTTCCAAAGCTGTCTAAAAATAGTAAAATTTGTTAAAGTAAATTTAGTACTTAGATATTACAGGTAGTAAATACAATACACAGTACAGTACAGTAATACAAACATCGCATAGCTTATAATTTATTTTTCATTACTACAAAGTAAGGTGTATCCACTCTAAACCTAATTATAAATAAAAAGCAAAGTCAGCAGATGAATGTTCCTTCATGATTCATTAAAAATGGCCGGTTCCACTCCAAGTACTATTATTTGCTGTATTCGTGCACCGGGCTTTGTCTGAGTCTAGGCCACGGTTTATGTCTTGTTAGGCTTCATTTCCTAAAAAACACTGCTACTTCAACATTTAACATTTCTCTTTGTCTCCCAATGTTCCTCGAAAACCGTTTGGTGATGATGGATTAATTGAATATTAACGGGCTTGTTATAAGCATGCTTAATCTATCAGATATTTTTGTATTGCGATATTTATTTATTTTATTTATTTATACATCATTGTTACACCCTAAGCTAAAGGCTATAATGGGCGGACTTAATGCCTAATGGCATTCTCAACCAGTCAACCCTTGTCATGGTGAGAAGTAGATGGCAGGTGTTAAACCGAAAAGTGAATGTAAGAAATAAATAAATTCCCTTTAAAGTTAATAAAAGTAGGAAAATATATACATAAAAATTATATCTAATGTGTGCGCATATACGAATATGTATATGAATATTATTAATCATCAACTAAATTCAATAATTTAATCGATAATGCGATAATTAAAATAATCGTGAAATGATAAATTAATCGTGAATTTTCTTGTGATGATGATGTATACGGTATACCTGACTGAAATGTCAGATATGTTCAACTTGGCGTCGTAATGTATCAGACTTGGGTGTGTTTCATCAAATATGTAAAAAGTCAAGGACAAGGTAGCTTACACCTTGGACTATATCAAGAATTGTATATATTGATTGTAAACGTGGTTTTGAGTCAGATTTAAAGGCCGTAAATTCTCGCAATAGAAGACTGATTATTGTGAGGGATGATTTGGGAAAAATCCTTAATAATATTATAAACGCGACAGTTTGTATGTATGGATGGATGTTTGTTACTCTTTCAAGCAAATAGTACTGAATGGATTTTAATGAAACTTTACAATAATATAGCTTATACATCAGAATAAGACATAGGCTATAATTTATATACATATTTTTATGTATATCTGTATTTCTTACGCAGAAGTATTCGCGGGCAGCAGCTAGATAGAAATAAAATAAACGTTTTAATGACACAAACAAAATTTAGTAACAAAATACTTCTGAAACAAATTATAGCTTATATTATGAGATATAATATATTACATAAACAAACAACTTTTTGTGTGATCTTTTGTGACTCTGTAAGACTTAGTACATACCCATAACTATTTTTATAATCTCTTATGATCTGCAGCGTCTATATTCAAAAAAACATAAACACCACTGTATTTGTTCTATTCAAACTAATATACACTTTCTTACTACACTAAGATGTGATGAATAATCTCAGTTATACCAGAAAGGATTCTGTATTATGATTATGATTATTTATTATAGCATATTGAAAAAAAAACAGTTATAACGTTCTTGTTCCCAAATATTAATCTTACATTTTAATTTCGTGATTTAAGAAATGAAGACCAATAAAGGGCATTATGGCCTATAAATTGTAATAGCAGTAGCTACGTAGTACTCGAAATATTTGTGGCCAAGGGGTCAGTTGCATGTAAAATACAACACAAAATGTGGCCTTTCGGCGGCAGGACAAAGCATCTATCCATATTTTCAGGTTTGTTATGTCTTAGTTCATATTATTCCTAACTAACGGCTTACACAGTTGAGCCCGAAAACGCCATCTCATGTAAATTGACATGACAATGTACTGCCAATAAATACACAGATCATAGTATAAAAGTGGATCGTGGAGACGTTTCGAAGTATATTGTAATCTGATTATTACTTTTAGAAAAAAAAAAAACTTAAAACTACAACTATAAATAAAAGAAATACCGGCGGCCTTTCCGAAACGTATTTGAAAGCCCTCTAGAGTTGCAGGTGTTTATCGGCGACGGTGATCACTTACCTTCAGGTGAGCCTCCTGCTCGCTTACCGCGTTTTTGCCACAAAAAATACTTCTTAGTATTGTAGCAATAGATCGTATGTATATTAATCCTTTCCTATAAAGACAATGTATAGATCATGCATACTTCTCTTAGTTAGGAATCGTACCCATAACCGTATTTTATTTCTAAATTACCACCTTGTCTATCGCTTTGCAGTGATGCTAACCGATTCATCGTAAAATCATGGATCTATAAATCTTACCGTTGTGCCAAGGTATAAAACATTGACCATTCTAGGGATTTACAAATGGAACGTAGTTTCTTAGCACAAGAAGGCTTCAGAAGACTTTAAAGTTATTTAAGTACAAAGCTGTACGGTGTGCTAGGCGGGGCCTAATGCAGTTTCTGGTGTATAACGTATCGGTGGAGGTCGGTATAGTGCTTAAGAAAAGTACACTATAAAATGTTTTCTTTAAAAACGTAATTTAAAAAACTTAAAAATATGTATAATATGAGACAAAAACGGTGATTATTTTTTTACAATAATTATCAAAGAAAATGTAGTCACATACTAAAACTCTGCGACAATACTTTAATACAAGGGTTTTATTCTAATTATCAGTATTATTTATTTCAGTGTTATGATTTTATTTTATACTTATGAAAAACGTAGAGAAATTTTTTTACAAAATTATTTATTTTTGTAACTTGAATTGAAACGTTTTCTCTCGTCGGTGTGAAACTTGTAGGGCCCACTGGCAACGCTTTTAGTACGAAGGTAAATATTGTGACGTACAGCCGTAACCACCGACCGCTTATAAAGTATGCGACTGAAATATGAGCGGTCGGCGCGTTTCAGGAATACTCCTGAAAATTATTTGCGCTTTAGGAATACGCCTGAATATTATACGCGTTGCGAAGTTTCAAGGCACTTATTGGCGTATCTGTTAACCTTGTAACACAATAAATGTATCTGCTCAGAAATGTTTGATTTAAATATGTACTCGTAGCAATGATCTGTGTAATTCTCATGAGATCTTTAATAGTAGGTGAGAGTAATTAAAATAAATGTGTATATCGTAATAATATGCTTGTGAATCAGAAATAACTCTTATATTGATGCAGGCACCAATTTTGATGGGAGACACCAATGAATATTTGAAAATAATTAAGAATTATATTTAGAGATTTAAGAGTACTATGATTGGCTGAACAACTTAGCAACTGACCAATAAATAATACTTAACTTATTTTCGTTTAGTTATAGTTAAGGTGTATAGTAAAGGTAAGTTATACTTTTACACACTTTTTTTGTACACAATATTTTATCGTATTCGAAACGATACTTCCGGTGTTTGTTGGGCCTTTAGGAGTATGTTACGTTCACAAAAGCCTAGATTGAAAATATTATTTTACCGGCTATGCCGAAGTTTATTGGAACCGGCGTATGGAAACACGTAGGGTGTATTTATTTACACTCTATCCGAAGCTCTGCTTTTTCTGAGCAATTTTCTGTGTTCTGTGATAGTTTCAAAATTAGAAAATAAATGATTTGTTAAAGAAAAAAGAATCGGAGGCGCTGTGATTAATTTACTGTCTTCGGGGCCGTGGGTTCAATTTACACTCGGGACATGAATTTGTGTGACTTACAGATAGTTGTTTCAGATCTGGGTGTTTGTTTCCGAAGTAGGGTTGACGAATGGCAGGCGGCCGATCGTGAAAAAAAATAGCCAAAACAATTTACAACACGATTCGGGCGTTGTGCCGACCCCACCGAGGATAAGGGCAGGATGATGATGATCATGATGACTGAAAACATCTGTCACTTTGCATAATACTTTACATTACTGTGGTAGGGCCACGCATCAGTCTACGCTGTTGCAGGAATGGGCAGGTCGTCCGGGTTAGTACCACGATCTCACAGAAGACCGGCGTAAAGTAGAAGTGTTTGTTACACTTCTGCGTTTCGTCTGGTTACTGAGGTAGCCGGAGCCCGAAAAAAAAAACAAAAACTAATTTTGAGTACCAACAATTCGTCGTGTTATAAGTGAAAAATTTTTGAAAAACGATATAACGTTGTAAAACGATATTCTAAATTTTTTGTATGTTGGAAAGGATATAACAATAGATGCGCCAAACATTGGTTCAAATG